ATACTCAGCAACGGCTTCACGTGCTTCAATAAATCCTACAGACGGAGCATATCCATTAAAGTTTTTCTCGTCAATCACTTGCTTCATTGCATCAAGAATTTCATTAGCTGGTTGAAGGTTTCCAAATGTTGTAGGATCACCTGACATTATACAATTGGATATAAAAAGAAAGCATATAAAAGACTGGATTTATAAAACACGTTTTGATATCTTTTATTGATATCAGTGTCGTCATTTTTGAATAATTTAAGAACGCACACCTCCAATCAAGTCTGAGACTTGAAACGTCACATGCTGTATGTTATCATCAACAGATTAGATTAAGAGAATAAAATCTGGTTTGTTAATTATTGACATAAATATGGAAACAATTCTGAATATTTTATAAAATGTTGAGGTTCTTGCCAAGATTCTAGAAGATTTTTTAAAGACGCGCATATAAAACCTGATTTTCCACAATAATTTTCAGGATAACATCTTTTGGGATTATTCAAGGTCATGCGAACTTTCATGGAAAATAAAAAAGTTTTTATTTTTTTGCAGCGTAGTTCTATAATTTCCTTGTTTTTTTCTTAGCTACTGACTGACTGACTAACAGTAAACATCTAGGAATTTCACCAACAAACATCGGAGGCTCGATTCACATTAATTAATAAGTTGTTTACTGTAGATTATATTCTTTACATTTTTTTATGATGATATGAACGACTGTGTATTATAAAAGCAGTTAAGTGCCTTGCTGGTCGAATAGTTAAGGCGCTTGCCTCAAATTTGGTATGGTAACTCGAAGGTCGTCGGTTCGAATCCAGCCATTTCCAAATTTGTTCTTTTTCAGAAGTTTAGATACTTCGACTGCTTAATGTAGGAGATCAAGCCATAATTGGGCATTTTGGGCAACGTTGGATTAAGGAACGGATCAGGAACTTGAAGTGTAGCGGGAGAAATAGGAACGAGAGCTACAAGATTACCCACGAATGGAATATTGTCAGAACGGACCTGAAATGTATCACGTCACGCCCTAAGAAGATTGAAACGAGAGCCTGAATTTAATCAAAAACCTAGATTTGAAGATTAGAAGCTTGATTCTACTTCACCCATAGTGATATGAAATGTATCACTAATCAATGTAAAAAGTAAAAACATGTATAAATACTAATTCTTCTGGACGGTAACGTCGACAAATAAATAATAATAATACATTTTTTTTCATTAGCTTCACTGCCACTTATGCCTCGATCTATCTCCAAGTGAGATATTTCAATATTTTCATCGATATGCAAATTAAGTCGTTTTTCTAATATTTAAATTCATTAGCATTTTTAAAAATGTTCAAGAATCCTCACATTTAATTTTATTAGCACATTTTAGTGATTCTAGAACTTTAAGCCAATAACGTTCTTAAACATTTTTAACGACTTTAAAAAATTTAAAATCAAACGGCTTTCAAAAATTCAAATTAAAAATGAACTGAATTGAATTGAACTTTTTAACGGTTTTTTAATTTAATCACTACCGAAATGAACAAAATCAGGCACACTTAAAAGAAAAGGCAAAAATATGCGATATTTTTTTATGCCGCGCGTGGCAGTAACAATTTTGTAATTTTACACTCTTATAATGAAATTTCTAGAACTGTGTGGAACTGACCTATGGATAAAGCTATCATTCGTTTGTCAGGATTCGGTGCGATTTTCATTCCATCAACAATTGCTCGAATTGGATTGTGTGTTTTTAAGGCAAAATCACTGCACTCAACATTCCATTTTAAGTCTCGGACCGTGCTTTGTCGACGTAAGAGCTTCCTTTTGAACTCTGTATTTAATCGATTCTTTTCTTTTGAATTGAAATTTCCGATAAAATGTAGCACTTCATTTGTCGTTTGTTCCACTTTCGTTGCCATTTTGATCAACGAATTTAAAAATTCTTAAAAATTTCTACTGAATTAAAAAAAAAATCACTCTGTTTAATCCTTGATATTTCTCTCAATTTAGGTATTGATATCTCCTCGATCACTTGACAACTAAGTCAAGATATTAACAGCTTGTGCTTTTTATTTCATCTCACAAATATCAACAAAGACCCAAAAAAAAAAACATCTACTGCGAATATCACAAGCTTAATGAAAAGTATTTTGCATGTTACCAGAAATGAATCTTATGCTGTATCTTCTAAGATCTGAATCAATTAATAAATTTTAATTGTTATCAATTTTTCTAGCTAGCAATACATTTTTATTATGCCATTGAAGCGACATGAATACTGAGATTTGTCCTTAAGTGCCTCCATACATACCTGTGTTCTCCCTGTTTTAATTTTTTAGCGCATTTTTGAAACTTGTTTCGAAAAGGTAGCTTAATAATTCACTTTGTCTGTTCGTTCGGGCGGAGAAAAACTTTTAAACTAGACATCGTAGAGAGTTCTAGTTTGTTTTATTAGCTCTGGTTCATTGTTTTATTGGCTTTAAGATTATTTTCGAACCGTAAAACAATGACTAAATACTATAATCAATGATTTTTTTATTTCATAAACAAAACCACGTGATGAGTACGTTTAAAAATTTGAATTTTTTTCTACCGCTTTAAAAGTTGTTCATGGTATGTTCAGAGATTATACAGGGAACGGTACAATAAATTCTATCATCGATCAGGATCGCAGTGCCTCCGGCTCGTCGCAACGTGTAGCAACACATCGCTCAGCTGGAACCCTCTCACATTATTATTAGTATTATGTTCAGAGATTCAAATTCATTTCTACCGTTAAATATTTGAATTTCAAAAAACCGTTAAATGAAAATTTCATTTGAATTCAAGAGTTTTTTGTTGTGAAAATTAATTTATTTGTTTAAAAATGAATTACCTCACGTAAATAATATAAAAATGGCAGAATAATTTCAAAAACTATTAAAGGACAAAAAACTTTTTGCTGTACGCAAAATTTATAGCTGTTTGCTAATTGATTCACATTTTGATGCTTATCAAATACTGATCGCTGCGTTCAAAAATGCGCTGAAGTCCCTCGATCAATAACACGAGGACTTTTGTAATTTTTTTTTATTAATATTCAAATGATATTCCATATAACAACAAAAATCTGTTGCAAAAACCTGAAATCTGTTTTATTTTCTCTCTCACATACAAAAAATACCAGCAAAAAATTTGAGCCAATAAATGCTTTGGGGTCGATTGTCAGCTACGTAACACTCTGTAGACTAGGTGGTGCAATGCGAACCATAGAATTTGATCAGCAGCTTGCTTTGAAAGCAAGATATAGACATTTAACAGTTCAGTATAAGCTAGAAATCTTTGAAGAACGCAACAAAGGCTTTAAACTTCAGGATGTGAGTTCCTGTTGATAATAGATAGTATGAAGTTGTCTTAGTGTGGTGTGAATCCTATTGAATCTATAACTTACAAGATGCTCAAGAATCGCTACAAAAGTAACAAATAATGATGAGATTTGCTTCAATGAGCCACGAATATTTTTAAGAATAACTCAGTCGAAAAAATGCAAGTTACAAAAATTATGATCGACGCTTTGATGTATGTATGTAATACTGAATCTTGTGAATTTGGATCCTTTACAGTAAAAAAAAATCTACATTAAAAATTATGAAAAGTTGCAGCAAGACAAATGACTAGCCAAATAATCACAAGAAGTGGAACTGGCTTTTTAATATTTTTAAAATCAAAGTTCCAATATTCATTATCGACATCATTTGGTAGTTTTCGATAAGGTGGCGGTGCTTAATAGTCAGACATTCTATTATATTCAGTAAAATGAGTTTCAATAAAGTTCCTTGTGCATGTCTTTATTGGAGTCTGTAAAGTGCTGTCAAAAGGTAGCGAGCAGTGACCGACAACTCCTAAATTTATCCCAATCATCTGACGACATTCGAAATATTTTGCCAAGAATTTTTGAATCTTTAGAAATGGAACTTTTACGGTTTGTTATTGAAGCTTCTACGACACATTTTTTGTTGATGTTTTCTAAAGTTTTCTCGGTGCTTAATATATTCTAGTGACTTGTCGTGTTTCGATGTATTGGAGTGGCTTTCATGATTGTTTTCATCGTCTTCTGTCCATTCTGAATCGTTAGAACAGTTAATATATTTATTAAAATATGAAATATTTGAATCATTAGAAAATGATCGGCTAAGCCGAAGCTTACAAATCGGCTTATTATTTAATTAAGCATACTAAGCTCTCAGTCAATTTTTGCATCAATGTTGGGGAGTAAACGAGAGGGTTGGGGGTTGCATAAACCAAAAATCCAACCAGTCAATTTGCAATCAAGGACGAATTAGGGAAATTGAGACTAATTACGATATAGTTCCAATATTGAATTGCTCAGCTTTACCTTTATGAACACGATTTATTCATATTTCTCTAAATCAGGGGCGTAGCCAGGGGGGGCCATAGGGGGCCCGGGCCCCCTCTACGAAAATCTGATAATTGTTTTATTAAGTATTTATAGAGAAGAACCAGTTAATGTAGAGGGGGGGGGGGGGGGGCATAGGGGGCCCGGGCCCCCCCTCTACGAAAATCTGATAATTGTTTTATTAAGTATTTATAGAGAAGAACCAGTTAATGTAGAGGAAGTGATGAAAGAAATGCCAAAATCAGCACGAAAAATTAAATTTAATGTATGAATAATGAATTAAATATTTAAACTTATGAAGAATGAATATAGATTTAAGGATACAAAATAACAATTTTTTTAATTTTCAAAAATGGCCCCCCCCCCTTAAAAATTTTCTGGCTACGCCCCTGCTCTAAATCATATTGGATTTGTATGAATTAGTAGCCAATAAGACCTTCAAGTTAAAGTAAAAGCTCAAAAACTTCAATCTATAATCAAGTCAAGTTACCCAGAGACAATATTTTAAGCTAAATTAGAATTATTGCTGTCAAAGCCAATTAAAAAATTGTAGATTTTCCAACCTTAATCTCAATCATCATTAGTAAAATTTTAAAAATTCAATCAGACTACAAAAATATGCTTCAAAATTTAAAGGTTTTATTTCATTTCTACATTTGACATTAAATTTTTATGTCTTTTTCAGACTCATCACTCAAAAAATTCTATAAATATTAAATATTTAAGCACTTGTGCTTTCATCAGCAGCAGCAGCTTCGTCAGTCGATGCAGCACCTCCGGTTGTTGTTGCTGCACCTGTTGTGGTTGATGGCTTCTTGGATGGTGGAGCGCCACGTCCTGAAAGTAAAATAAAATTGGTTAATAGAATGGTTGAAATTATTTTTGAGCTCCAAATCCAATCATTGAAGTCTTTTAATACCAAAACATCCCAAAAAATCCACCCAAATACTCACTGAATCTAGCCAAAAGTCTAAGTTGCTCGACTGGTTCAAATTGGTCAATTTGCTCGCCTTGTTCGTTATTTTCGTTATTTTCGAGGTCTTCAGCAACGACGAAGACAGCCAAGAAAGCAATCAATGCAAAAACAACAGCGAATTTCATTTTGAATGGATTTTTAAATTTGTAAGTTGAAACTTTGAGATTGTAGAAAATTCAAAACTTGAATGATGATGGAAAGTGTGGAAAATTGTGTATTTATATAGGAACGATCAAGGTGAAATATTTATGAATGAGAATTTAGAACGGATGTGGAAGAAGGTTGACAAGATTGACATGATGTTTTTTGTTGCGTTGGATTTATGGGGATGTGATTCATATCCTATGGAATGTTTAAGTACTTTTTCATGAAAATTGGGAAAACACTGCAATGAATCATAACTTTGTTGGTGTTCTTCTCTTTGGTTCTTGGTTCTTGGTTCTTGGTTCTTACTTTTTGGTTCTTGCTTTTTGGTTCTTGGTTCTTGGTTCTTGGTTCTTACTTTTTGGTTCTTGCTTTTTGGTTCTTGGTTCTTGGTTCTTGGTTCTTGGTTCTTGGTTCTTGGTTCTTGGTTCTTGGTTCTTGGTTCTTGGTTCATGGTTCTTGGTTCTTGGTTCTTGGTTCTTTTTTCTTGGTTCTTACCGTATTATTGAGAATATTACATTCGATGAGTAAAAAATGAAAATTTCAATTGGTTTTTATAAACGAAAATACTTTATTGAATATTGAAAAATTATAATGTTGTCACAAAATCAAAAAATCCAAAAAAATTAAAATTTTTAAAAAAAGTTCAGTTAAAAGTCATTTTCATATTTATTTTGCAACTTTAAAATTCAATTTTATTTCAAATTTTTTTCACAAATTTCTTATTTTTGTGGTTCATAAGTGTCTCCCTTCTTTGGAACATGCTTGTTATAAACTCCAATTGTTGTTGATTCTCCATCAGCTTCTGTTGCTTCTCTGGACTTGCGAGACTTCTTTGGTGCACTTGATGATGAGCCTGATGAAGCTGTTGAACTTTCAGATCCTGAAGATTTTTCCTCGCTAGACTTTGGAGCTCCTTCGACTGATAGAATTGCGAATAAGGCGAGAATGAAGAAAATTGCGATTGTGAGCTTCATTTTTAATTTTTGTGGTTGATTTCGGTGTATATTGTTGAACTATTTAGTCTGCAATGGGAGCTGATTTAGTTCTGTTGCGGCTTTTATAGAATTTTTAAAACAAATTTTGAATATTGTTAAACATTTTTATTGGACCTTGTCAGGATGTTAGACATAACTATCAAAAATAAAAAAAAAGTTCTTTTTTCTTTACTGCTCGACAAACTCACGAACTTTCTACAAAAAATAGTGATGCTGGCACAATTCCCTTTAGATAATAAGGATCATCAAGTATGACAGTCAATCCAGCACCACTATCTCCTGAGCAAACTCCAGTTCCATCCCCACGACCACCACAAAATGTCCTTGCACTTGAGATTTTCACCAATCCAATGTTTTTTATAGAATTATTGGAACTTCAATGACTTTCTGGGTGCTTTCATGCTTTTTTGTGTCATCTTCACTTATTCCGTAGCCAACAACAATTCCAGTAAGTAACTTTACAGCTTCTGAGTCAGACTCAATTAAGCAGATCGGTTGGATGTATTTGTTGAATTGAACTTGAGTTGCTAGTTCCAAAATTGCTATGTCAGCATCATAAGTTTCAATATTTGGGTTCCAATCTCGATGCATTTTGATGTTCCTAACTAGAATCGATAATCTTCCAATTTCTATTGAGTTGTTTAAGTCATAAGCGACTAGAAGGACCACAATATCACGTGGAAGTAGCTCGTTGCTATGCTTTTAATTGATGCAATGAGCGGCTGAAAATTAAGTAACATTTGAGGTTATATTGGAGGAACTAGAAGAAAAATAAGGATCTTTACCTGTGACAATAAGGGAGTTAGTAATGATAGTTGCACCACAGAAGAATTGTCCTTTTGAAGTTACTAAGGCTGCATTCCTGTTGGAAATATAACAATATTTGGTCAGGTAGACATCTATTAAGTCAAAATTGAGGATAAGTTAAGTCACTTTGAGGTTAAATTAAGCTAAATCGAGGACAAGTTCAGTCGAATTGAGAATAATTTCAGTAAAATTGAGGATAAGTTCAGTGAAATAAGGAATACGTTCAGTTTCAACTGCTATTAAGTTCAGTTCGTAAAAAGGATAAGTTCAAAACCCAAAGATAAGTTTAGTTCATTTAGGTTTAAGTTCAGTTAGTCTTGAGAATTGTTTTAACTTAATTTGAGGAAACGTACAGTTAAACTTGAGGATAAGTTCAGTAAAATTGGGAAAAATCTCATTAAAAATGAAGATGAGTTCAGTGAAATTAGGGAAAAATTCAATTAAATTGAGGTAATGGTTAATAAAATCGATGATAAGTTCAGTTAAATAAGGAATACGTTCAATTCAAATCAAGGGTAAGTTCAAAAATCGAGGATAAGTTCAGTTCATATAAGCTAAAATTCATTTAAACGTGAGGATTAGTTCAGTCAAATTCGAGGATAAATTCCGAATTGAATTCGATATTGAACCTTTTTAGCTTAAGTTCCTTCAATGATGTTTCCTTTGCCGACCTCAGGCTTTCCACATTTGTGAGTCAAAGCTGTGAATGTTCTTATAATTTAAATCCAGTTCAGCACATATCATGGTCATTAACCTATCCACACTCACCCTTCACCTCCTTTGGTGCCTCTCTAGGTTGATAATTAGAAAAGCATCTTCCCAACTTGTCCTCAATCTGGTTCTCATCTATGATGTAGTCCTCAATGCAGATATTTTCAGACATGTCAAGCTTGTCCAGTGCTGTCGTGTCCAGAATCTTCTCATCAACCTCGGATATTTCATTGTTTGACAGTCCAATTGCCTTTAAACTGTTATGCTCAGATTGGTTTATCTGAGTGAACCTTTTAAAGCTTTTTCGATGACATTCCAAGTGACTCAAGATTCCTCAATGCTGCAAAGACATCCCACGGGAGATCCACAATCTCATTTTTATCCACATAAAGGACCTCTAAGTTGGGCACAACAACATGTTACAATTACCAAGCTCCTTTTTAAAAACAAAGCACAGCTGTTGAACCTGCTGTTTATAAGCACTCAAAAAAAGCAATTAAAAACTGAATAGAACTCTTAATTTAGAAAAACAAAAGGAAAAAATAATTAAAAAATCACATAAATTTGCAGGAACAAATTGCTTTTCGAACTATAAAAGTTAATATTTTTACAAATTTCTTTTCAGTTCCTAAAGTTTTCTTAAAGTTTGAAAAAAATCTTAAAAAATGTTAAAATATTTTTTTATTTTTTCGGTGATAATTTACAGTTTGAATGCACAGATCCCGTTGAGGGACGGAAAGTGTCCTGACATTTCAAGATGTTTAAGTAAATTTAAAATTCCACTGAGCTATCAGTCTGTAAGTGAAAAAATTAAATTAAAAATTTGAAAAAATTAAATTTGAAATTTGAAAAATTTAAAAATTGAGAAAAAATTTAAAATTTGAGAAAAAAATTTAAAAATTGAGAAAAAAAAAGAAAAACTTTAAAAAAAAGAGAAATTTAAAAACATTGGAAATTTAAAAATTGGAAATTTAAAAATTGGAAATTTAAAAACTGGAAATTTAAAAATTGGAAATTTAAAAATTGGAAATTTAAAAATTGGAAATTTAAAAATTGGAAATTTAAAAACTGGAAATTTAAAAATTGGAAATTTAAAAATTGGAAATTTAAAAATTGGATATTTAAAAATCTAAAAAGCAAAACTTTAAAAAAATTGGATAGCCAGAAAAAATAAAATTTATAAAATATTTTAAAAATAACAAAACTTTAAAAAAATAGAAAGTTTTTAAAAATTGGAAAGTTTTAAAAAATTCAAAAGAGAAAAAAATTTAAAAAAATTCAAATGTTTTAAGAAAATTGGAAATTTAAAAATTGGAAATTTTAAAATCTAAAAAGCGAAACTTAAAAAAATTGGAAAGCCCAAAAAAATAAAATTTATAAAATATTTTAAAAATAACGAAACTTTAAAAAATTAGAAAGTTTTTTAAAAATTGGAAAGTTTTAAAAAATTCAAAAGAGAAAAAAATTTAAAAAAATTCGAATGTTTTAAGAAAATTGGCAAATTTAAAAAAATTGGAAATTTTTAAAATATTTTAACTTAGAAAAACTTTGAAATTTATTTTAAAAACTGGAAAACCAAAAACAAAATTAAAATTCAATTTCAATTCAAATACTGTAAATATTAGATTCAAGGCTATCACTACTTGTACGCATCAGTTCCGTTCTTCTTCCAATCAAATTCAAAATGCAGCTACATCCAATTTACAGGAGCCACAGACAATGTTATAGATTTTGAGACATTTGCGATTGATAAAATGTAAGTTTAATCCTTAAATAAAGCTTAACTGAACCAAAACAACATCAATTCTAGCACAAACCAAGAAATCGTGTATGACGGATCACTTCATGCATCCCCAAATGGCGATGTTCAAGCCAACTTCACCAGCAGTAAGGAAACCTTAGTAGCTTTAACACATTCTGAATTTACTTGATTTCTGACTTGAATTTTAATTTTAGTGAACCTTCCACTTGACTTTCAAGTCATTGCCTTAACAGCTGAATATGCCATCACATATTCATGCAACACTTGCGGTTTCTACTCTAGTAAAGGCGCTGGAAGTGAGTATTGAGTCAATATTTTAACAAACCACTTAAAAAATCTCCAATTCATCCTCAGTCTACGTCCAAGTCCTCACCAGACTCCATCAACCAAAATGCGAAATAATCAATGACATCGAACATAAGCTTGAAGTGTGCGGAATTCCAACAAGAAGTTTAGTTTACATTGAAAACAAAGAATGTGACACGTGTCGTCATTTTGAGAAAAAGAAAAAATAAATTAAAATTCATAAAACTTTATTTAAAGGCTTTTTAGATCACGACAAGTGCTTTCAGGTTGACATTTTAATTTAAAATAAAAATAAAAAAAACAGTAACCAGGAACATCAAAACTTATCCAGAAAATCTTAATGAAGCTGCTGGAGGCTGTGTTGGTGAGCCAACTCTTGCGTCTATGACATTTTCTCCAAAATTGGAACCTGATCGTGTTGTTGTGGTTGATGCTGTTGATGTCGATGTCGTCGTCGTGGTCGTGGTTGTTCGTCCTCGTCTCCCACCACGCCCCCCTCCATGACACGCTGATCTGGATGTTCAAAAAAAATTATTACAATTTTTATCAGGTTTGATCATTTTAAAAGGTTTTGAGTTGCTTTGGATGATCAGAATGAGTTAACAGGCACGACTTTTTCCAGATGTAGACTTCAAAGTTGGTCCAAAGCTATTGTTTAAGTCATAATAAAGACAGTAGCTTCAATAAAATGCGTAATATCCTCAAAGAAACCATAAAAACTTTAAAGATGCTTCACTTGCCTTAAAATGGCTATCAATCTTGAGTCCACGACGGCACGAACCAGATTTGGTAAAGTCCAGCGTAATGCCGCGTTTATTCTTTTGTGGACAGCAGATTGACAGCTATTTTTTACGTGCTGTGCCTTTCAAAATAGACTCAATCCATAACCTGACTTACCCAGTCACACGTCCTTCACCACCAACAACAAAAATGATTAAAAATATTACAAAGATTTTAAATAAAATCATTTTTAATGTCTTTTTGTCGTGATTTCTATTTTGTGAATGTTGTGGAAATTCAAATTAAATTTTATGAAATTTAGATTTGTTTTGGACATTTGAAGGTTAAAGGCAAACGTTGTTTAATTTTAAATAAAACTTATTTTGTGTTTTACAACAGGAAATTTAAGGTTTGAACGAAATTATTGGGTTATTGTTTTTTAAATAATCATTAAAGCATGTACAGGGATGGATTTAAGTTGCAACTTGAAAGGGAGGAAGATTCACTTGAGACCAATCGCAATGCTCCATGCAGCCAAAGCTCGAAGTTGATGCAGTTTAGTTAAGTTTACTTAATCCTTTGGAAACAGTCTCAAGTGAGTTTCATGTCGATTCAAGTTGAAATCTGTTCAAGTCAACTTGACTTGACTTCGAGCTTTACTTGCAGCTCCACTCTTTTTTCATTGAGAATCTTTGAGATACGAGGGTGAACTTGGACGTCAGTAAGAAGTCAGTAATTATCATTTAGCTGCATGTCAAATAAAGGAACTCTTTAGAACATAAGAGGATGTGTAGCTCTGCTCTAGGAAGAATTATCTCTTTCACTGAAAATGAAAATCCGTACAAAATGTTCCAAACCCTTAATAAGGAGCCTGCAGACCAAGTTACTAGCTTGAGCTCAATCACATTAAATCTAATTTTATCCCTTAAGTCGTGAGAAAAACCTTAAAGCTGCCATTAAATATCGTTAAGAATGCAGCTGTTAATTTAATGAGCTCATTAAAAAAACTTCAAAGCTATTGTAGGAAATTGTCTCTTTTATTTGTTAAAACGCCGACAGTAAAATAAAATTTCAATTTAAAAAAATAGGCGGTAAGCTTAGAAACTTGAACCAAGTCAAGTCATCAACTCATCATCAGCAAAATCCTCGATTTTCCAGCACTACTCAGCTTCTGGTTGGCTCCTAACATCAATTACATCTTCTCCATAATTTGGATAATCACTTTCTACAGTTGTTGTCGGTTCCGATGTTGATGCCACTGGTGCTGTAGATGTAGAAGTGGTTGTAGTAGCTGTCGATGCTAATGTTGTAGTTGTTGTACTTGTTTTTACAGCAGTTGTTGATGTTGATGTCGAAAACGTTGTTGGTTTTGTGGTTGCAGTACTTGAAGTTGAAGTACTGGATAGCTTAGCAGTCATGGTGCTAGTCGTTGTTGTTGCATTGGATCGTAAAGTAGTTGTTGAGGTGGTTTTGGATGTTGATGACACTGGAGTGGCTGTGGCTGAGCTTGTCAAGTCCTTAGTGGAAGTTTGAACTGTTGTAGACTTAGTGGCTGTTGTAGGAACTGATTTAGTAGTAGGAATGGTTGTTTTCACCTTTGATGTTGTTGTTGTAGCTGAACTTTGTGGTTTAGAAGTTGTTAAAGAAGCAGTTGTAGCTTCTGTATCAACTGTTGACCTGACAGACGTTGGTCTTTGATTTCCGTTCTTCCTTTCTTGTTTTTCCCTTTCTTTTTGTTCTCTTCTTTTATTTTGTTGCTCTTTAATATGCTCAGGTGGACTTTAAATCGGAAGTTTATGATCAAATTTACAAGCTTAGCAGCTCTTAAAAAAATGTCCTTACCCAGGAAATCCATCCGAAATTGCGATCACAATAATCATTATTATCAAAATGAACGGAAAAGTTCTCATTTTATCTTCTGTTCCTTGTACGTTTAAGCCAAAAATCCTTTGACTTTTGAGCTTAAAATTCAAGAATTTAGTTATATTTAAAGAATTATTTTGACATGAAAATTTCGGATGTTTTTGAAAATTTACAATTTTTACATGACAATATAGAGGCAAAAATATGTTGTTTGTCAGCTTGTAAAACAATTGCGAATATTTGGCTCAAAAAATAATTGACTTACTGACTTGACTGTGACTTGACTGTGACTTGACTGTGACTTGACTTGACTCTGACTTGACGGTGACTTGACTGTGACATGAATGTGACTTGACTTGACTCTTACTTGACTGTGACTTGATTCTTACTTGACTGTGACTTGACTCGACTCTTACTTGACTGTGACTTGACTCCTACTTGACTGTGACTTGACTGTGACTTGATTCTTACTTGAATGTGACTTGACTGTGACTTGACTTGACTCTTACTTGACTGTGACTGTGACCTGACTCCTACTTGACTCCTACTTGACTCCTACTTGACTGTGACTTGACTGTGACTTGACTGTGACTTGACTGTGACTTGACTGTGACTTGACTGTGACTTGAATGTGACTTGACTGTGACTTGAATGTGACTTGACTGTGACTTGACTGTGACTTGACTAGACTGGTACTTGACTATGACTTGACTTGACTGTGACTTGACTGCGACCGTGACTAGACTGGTACTTGACTGTGACTTGACTGACGTGACTTACTTGACTGTGACTTGACTGACTAGACTTACTTGACTGACTTGATTGACTTGACTTGATTGACTTTATTGACTTGACTAATTTGACTGACTTGAGTGACTTGACTGAACAAAAAATAATTTTATTTTATTTTTATTAAAAACTCCAATTTTTAATACAAAATCAAAAAGTTCCATAAAATAATCAATTCAAACTTCCTGCAAATTTAATCTCAATCTACATCATTCCTGCAACAGCAAGAACAAAAACTAAGAAAGAGTCATCGAACCTACCCCAAAAATCCAACAACAAGATCATAACATGTGCTGATTTATCTTCTTATCTCATTCATTGTTGCCGTCTCTTTCCAATCAATGAAAAATTCTGCACGTGCAAATGCAATTTTATGAATGAGAAACTAATCTGTTGCTGGATGCGAATCGCAAAAAGTTTTAAATTGAATTTTATGAATTAAAAGTTTGATGATTTTGAGGGAATTTTGTGTCTTTCTAGAGAATTTTTGGAGGTTCGAAAGATTTTTAAGAGATTTTTTGAATTTTCTGGTGAAATGAAAAGTTGAAAAATCCGTTAAAATTCAAAAAATCCCCCCACAAAAATTGCTGCGTTTCGCGCCGACCTCGAAAACATTTGTGCGGTTCCAATCGTAAAATATTTTTGTTTACCACGGGAAGAGTCTTTCCTCGTGTATTTAAATCGTATTTTCGGGTATTTGCGGTAATTAATCGGGATATTATTGGAATTAAATAATAATTAGAAGTGGAAAATTTCACGGTAAGTAATTTGCGAGGCCGGAAAATGTGGAAAAAAGTGAAAAATTTAAAATAACAAAAAATTTACATACAAGTGTCAAAAATTACACAATTTTGGGAATTATTCAATGAAAATTCGTCTAAAGTTGGTCGTGAATTGTGTTAAGGGAGGGTTGGTGGGGTACTCAAGGGGTTCATGTAGAATTTTCAACACCCCACCCGGAAAAACCAATAAAAAATCCAAAAAACATGAAAATTTCGTCGCCCACAAAGAAAAAATATTTTTTTTTTGCAATTTTAGACAACAAAAAAAATTCACGCCGAACACGCTTTGCTGGATCAGCTCATAACAGCATAGCTTAAACCTACGCAACATAAATAATTTCTCCGCTCACTTCCAGTCAACGACAATCGCCTCAATTTGTGATAATTTTCAATTTAAATTTATTTTTTTCACTCCAAAATTTTCCGTCTCTTTTTGGCCTTTTTTGTTGTTGCTGTCTCCCTCGCACACATGTTTATCTACCACGAGACTTGATCCACATGCACCTGGCGATTTGTAAACATAAACAATCTCATCTCGCTCTTTTTTGCTTTTCTTCGTTTTTGTTGTACTTAAACTCGCTCTGCTCAACCGGCAACAGCAGCATGAGAATTTTTTTTTATTGTTTCTTGGCATTTTTGTTGTTGCTGCTGCTGCTGCAGAGAGAAAAAAATTGTAAAACATATGCTGAACGGATTTCTTTTTTGTTTGCACATTTCGCAATTTTTTTTTTTGATTCTTTTTAATCGAGTGTGGTGCCTGCAACGTCTTTTTTTCGGGAAGAATATTAAAGCGAAAAAATAAATGAGATTTTTGAGGCAATGCGAAAGGAATAATATGTAAAAAATAATAATAAATGTTATTTTATGTGCTGTGGATGACAAAATTAAATAAGAAGAATTTTTGAAAAAATAAGAAAACAAACTGTTGAGGAAATGAAGACAGATGATGAACAAATTTGTGGATGTTAATTAAAATTAGACTGAAAAAGTGTGAAATAATTGCTGGAAAAGATTTTTTAAAAATTGGAGAACATTAAAATTGAGAATAAATTAGAGAAATTTTTTAAGGATAAAATGAAATTTTTAATTGAATTTTTTTAAGAACTCAAAAATAAAATTCGCAAGAAAATAGAATTCAAAAAAAAAATAAGAATTTTAAAAAGTTAAAAGTTTCAAAAGTTAAAATTTTAAAAAATCAAAGCTCAAAGAAAAAACAAAATTTTCAAAAACCAAAACTTAAAAAAATCCAAAAATCAAGAATTTTAAAAGTTGAAAGTTTCAAAAGTTAAAAATCTATAATTTAAGAAATAAAAATTTTAAAATACCAAAAATTCTAAAAGTTGTAAAAATTCAAAAATCGAAACTTAAAAAAATCAAAAAACTCGAATAATTAATAAATTTAAAATTTGAAATTTTAAAATAAAACAAAAACCACAGAAGTTAAAATGTTCAAAAGTTGAAAATTTAAAAAAATCTAGATTTCAAAACATCATAAAATTCAAAAGTTTAATAAACCAAAAAACATAGGTTTTTAAGATTTAAAAGTCACAAAAATAAAAATTAAAACAGTTTCAAAATACAAAATAACAATAAATTCAAAAATCCTCTCAAAAATAATTCTCATCTCTAACTTGATCTCCAACATCAAAACTCTCTTCTCACAAATTACAAAACTAAACTCAAACATTAAATTTTTATTTATTCTACATCAATTCATAAAATAGATAAACAAGTGCGCGCATCTAACTTTAAATGAATAGTGACAATCGTGATTACGGCGATGATAAAAAAAAACCTTCACATTAAATAATTCAAAAAGATAAGAGTGAAAAAAAAGTGACTCAATTTATAAACACTCAAGTTTGATAACGCAAGACTGTTTACTGAGCGAATTCTTGAGAAGATCTGTTAAGGTTTTTTTGACTGAAAAAAGTCAGAGAGCATTTAGTGACGTGTTGAGGATTTCGTCATATTTTTTTGGTATTGAAATAATTTTGAATTGATTTTTAATTTGCGATTTTTGAGCTGGAATTTGAATGAGTTTAAACTAATTCTTGTCAAGATTGGTAATAGGTTAGAGCAGTGATGGTCAATCTATGTGCCGCGGCACACAAGTGTTCAAGAAATCCAACAAAACATTTGCCATATGTGCCGTGGTTCAAAAAAGGTTGGACACCACTGGATTAGAGTATTGCAGTAGAATAGCTATGGGAGTGATAAGCTATAGACACCCTTTTGAATACTCCCCAGCCTTGTCATCGGCTTTATTTTAGTGACATTTCATAGCCAATCTGGCCACCAAGTGAGATTCACGAGGTTCCTTTAAAGCAATCCAAACACATGTTCTTAAGATTTTGATTCTGATCAATCCAAATTCACATCATCTGCCAGCAAAAAATTTCTCTAAAATATCCTACAAATTTCACTGAATATGTTTGGAATATGTTTATCATCAGCCAGACTATTTTAATGAGAAAGGAACAGCAAGAAGAATTTTTTGACTCAATTAAAAATGCTTTTTTCTTCTTCTTTTTTAATCTCAACGGAAACCAAGAAAAAAAACGTTACGCTTCATTTTGTGTTTATTTTGAGAGTCAATTGTGAAATGTTTTTTTGGCCTTAAAACTTGAGAATTTTATGCTGAGTTGAAATAATGTTTTGATTTATTCAAGCATGTTGTGAGCTCATTCTGTCAATATTATGGATTGGTAGATTAATTTTGAGGCTGGCATCAACTAGTCTGGAGTTCTTAGTGTGAAGGCACCTGAACCAAATTAATCTTTAGTTCCTAGTGTGAAGGCACATGAACCAAATTAATTTATAGTTCCAATTGTGAAGGCACCTGAACCAAATTAATCTATAGTTCTTAGTGTGAAGGCACCTGAACCAAATTAATTTATAGCTCCTAGTGTGAAGGCACTTAAAACAAAATTAATCTACAGTTCCTAGTGTGAAGGCAACTGAACTTATTGGAAAAGCTAGTCGATGGACAATAATTCACCAAAATTTGAACCTATCAAGTAGATTTTCTTTCTAAGTTCAGTTGCCTTCACACCAGCAACATTTATAGCACAATCAATACCAAAGAATCTAAAAAAATTCCTCCTAGTGACTCACAAAAAAGTTTTTCTTTTCCTCCTCAAAGTCCAAAAACAAAAAATTATTTACATAAATTCTTCTTTTTATTTCATTTCTCTGCGATGTGTTTTTATTGTTACTGTAACTCTTTATATAGAAAGGTGTGTGCTGTATGAGAATTACAAAGCTAAATGACAAGAGACACGACAGCAATTTATTCTTGGAATTTTGTACATAAAATAAGAATTGAAATTATTGTAAAGACTAAAAAATATTCGAAAAAAAATGATTGATCGAAGTTGACTGAACTGATTTTTTTTTCTTATGTAGTTCAAGAAGATGAATAATTTGAGATGAAAAAGTCGCTGTTTTGAGTGAGAAAATTGAGATGCGAGTGAAATAATTTGAATGAGAATTAAAATCGATGAGAATGAATTGAAAAGAAAGGAAATTTACGTGAATTGAATGCAAAGTTTGTAGCTTTTTAAATGATTTGTGTGAGAATGTTGATAGTTTTGACTCTAGCGTGATCTCAACTGAACCTAGCTACTTTTGTGTGAAGGCACCTGAAGGTAGCAACTCTAATGTAAATTCACTTGAACATAGCTACTCTAGTGTGAATGCACCTGAACATAGCTACTCTAGTGTGAATGCACCTGAACTTAGCTGCTCTAGTGTGAAGGAACCTGAACCCAGCTACTCTAGTGTGAAAGCACCCGAATCTAGCTACTCTAGTGTGAAAGCACCCGAACCTAGCAACTCTAGTGTGAAGGCACCTGAACCTAGCTACTCTAGTGTGAAGGCACCCAAACCTAGCTACTCTAGTGTGAAGGCACCTGAATATAGCTACTCTAGTGTGAAGGCACCCGAACCTAGCAACTCTAGTGTGAAGACACCTGAACCTAGATGCCCTAGTGTGAAGGCACCCAAACGTAGCTACTCTAGTGTGAAGGCACCCAAACCTAGCTACTCTAGTGTGAAGGCATCTGAATATAGCTATTCTAGTGTGGATACACCTGAACTTCTCATTTCTTCACCAACTCTGTCCTAGCCTCTCATTTGGCATATCTCAAACTTTACAAAATCGACAATTTCTCCATAAACAATCTCCACACAAAGTTTACAGTAAAATATTGCATAATAGGTCAGCTGAATACACGACATGTTGTCTCATGTTTCACATACTTTTAGTCTTTCAAGTGGATTTTTGGATACACACATGCATTACATTCTTTCCAACAAAAATTATTAATTCTCCTAACGTATTTTTTTTTTCTTTTCATCGTTGTATATCTCATTTGAGTATAATGCTTCTTTTTATTCTTAATGTCCACACTTGACATCGAAATAAAAATTGAGCAAAAAGAGAGTAACACATAAAAAAATATTTTAATTCACATAAATGATGAATCAGGCATCGTTGTGTTTGAGATTTCAATGTAAACATCTTCATTATGAGAATTGAAACAAATCAAGTCAGTTGAACTGAATGCTTTGATTTTATTGTGTTTGTTGAAGAATTTACGGAATTTGATTTTTGTGTATCAATATTGAGGTATTTGAAATTTTTGACATTCAGTATTTTTCCGGCCAACCCCATGATGAGGGATGAATCAACACCTCAAGATTGGCATTGACTTCAATGCTCATTGTTATGTACTTCTCACGAATAAAAACAGTCATCGCAACAACAATTGAAATCCCGAACAGCATATGTCTGTTCGTTTTTGGTGTTAAACTTCATTAAAGGCTCCATCAAGGCAACCTTAATGTCTTTGGGGCATTTAAATGTTGATCCGATTTTCAATACTGCTTTGACAGTTCCCTTGGGTAGTAGAATCCACGCGAATCTCACGTCGACTTGGTGCCACCATTTAACGACTTCTGACCGTTGAGTACGATTGTGTTGCTCGGGAATGAAGCATCAAATGTATGGAAGCGATGAGTCACTTGATAGATGGAAATTATGAAGCCTTTTAAGAATCTTTTGGCTCTTTTCGGCAAATGAGTAGTCTTTAAAGACGGAAGAACGTGATTGTCATTTTTATGAGTAATCTAAGGCTGCCAAAAGTCTTGTTTGTTCTGTCTGGGGATCCTATGAGTCAATAATTGAGTAACTTTGTTGTTGATTGTGGCTTAGTTTAGCTTTGTTATTGGATTTGAACTGAATAATGGTTGTGGCTCTTAAGTTTCTCATATTAAAACGACTTTACTTTTTGGGTTGGCCGTAAAAAGTGGGAACAATCATGCAAATTTGTGCAATTTTTGACCTAAACTTCCAATTAAAATTTCTAATAATTCAATTTTTAATTCCAGATATCATCAATCTAAAATCTGATTGAACCTTTTATCATCAGAACATTTTCTTCTGCATCTTATCTAAATCATTAGAACATAAATCAAGAGAATCAACAAGTGTCAGTTCGTACATCGAACACCAAAACCACTTTTTAACATCACATAACCAACCCACCCACAGCTAGTGGTGTGGCTGACGAATAAAATCATAAAACTAAAACGAACGACAATGACAATGACGATGCCAAATGCCAAACATATTTTAATGCTTCTCGCATTTATGATAGCTGTGAATGTGCCAATTCTAGTCAACTGTGCGCCCTCAAATAGTGAAAAGGACATGAAAGGACCAGTCTTTATTAAGGAACCTGATAATCGCATTGACTTTTCGAACTCGACTGGATCTGTTGTTGAATGTCGCGCTAATGGAATTCCACCACCGGAAATTATTTGGGTTCGGAGCGATGGCACGGCTGTTGGTGATGTTCCTGGATTGAGACAGGTGAGGATATGATTGGGGTTGGCTGGGAAAATTGGGATATTTTTTTGTGGAATCTCAATTTTATAAGGGTTGGACACAAAAATCAGGAAAAATATTAAAAATTATTTTGTGGGTTGGCCGAAATAATCGGGAATTATTTTGTGATTTTTTGAAAATTAAGTTAACCTCAAAAAAAGAAACATTTTACTAATTTTTGAATTTAATATTTTAGGTCCTACCAAACGGCAACCTCGTCTTTCCACCATTCCGCGCTGAAGACTACCGTCAAGAAGTTCATGCTCAAGTCTACGCTTGTCTCGCTAAAAATCAAGTTGGATCAATCATCTCACGCGATGTTCACGTTCGTGCTGGTAAGTTGAGGATGAAAAAAATTGTTGATTTCTATCTGTTTTAGGTTTTTGGCGGGAAGTTGAAGATTAGGATTAAGAAGAAATTAAGAGAATTTTCACTAAAGAGGAATGAGAATTGAGGAAGTGCAATGTTACAATAATGAGGATGAGATGGAGGTTCAGGCAGGTTTTGGAGCCTTTCTTGTGGATTTGATGAGTTAAAAGTGTCAAAAGTGACTATAGTGGAGTGACTAGTGTTATAAGGGCATCCTGAGTGTGACTTTAGTGTGGTTAATGAGGCTTTTGTGTAAATAAAATCACATTAGTGCCTTTAAAAGCCTGAAATGAGTGAGAATTTGAGAAAAACAATCAAAATTCGTGTTAATTCGTGATAATTGAATTAAAAGCTAGTAAAGTTACTAAAACATAACCTCAAAAATATTAAAATAACCTTCTTAATTGATAATTAATCAAAACCTATTAAAACAAACACTGACCAAACCCACAAATACAGCAGAAGCCATTAAATACAGTGTTTTATGATCCAACAAGTGATGAGAACATTAATTCTTAGTTATGACACTCTTAATAAGTAAATTAATGAATGAAAAATAGTAAATAGTAAAAAAGAACGTCAACAAGTGCTATAAAAATTCCCATTTAATTGTTTTGTCGTGCTGCTCATCAAGCATTTGATTAATGAATGTCCAAAATTAACATTATGACATTTGATAGTGCTGTGGATGTTGTGTAGTTTTTGGAATTAATTGTTATAAATTATGTGTGCTCAAGTGATGAAGTTTTAATGTGAATCAAGTGATGAAGCCTCAAAATGACCAAAAGCTGCCTTAATCTCAATCATAATCTTCCCGCCAAAACCAACAACAGCTCCACCAATACAATAAAAATCGAATGACGACGACGAAGAAAAAGTAAGAAGCAGACAAACTTTTACTTTTCATCATTGAAAGTGAAAACGAAAATGTAAAGAAGGCAGCCTTGACCAAGTTCAATGCTCATTTTATGTAGCGAAAGTGGGTAACTGGGTCACTGGGTCAACGCGTTTCGTTTCTTTTTTGGCGAGCATTAAATGAGAAAAGAAATCATTTTCATTGTCAATGTGAAATTGTCGAAGGGCATGCGACGTTGGGGTGTGGGTGATGTAATGGGTGGTTTTTAAGGGGCGTCGTGAAGATTCTTAGTGGAAATTTAAGTTGTAAAGCTACAAATAATGACAAAACTAACTTCAAAAACTTTCATCAGTTGCGACACAGAGCTACGAAACGGACATAAACACTGAGTACGTCATTAAAGGAAATGCAGCAATTTTAAAATGTGTTTTGCCGTCTTACATGTCCGATTATTTGGAAATTGTTTCATGGAAAGTCGATGATGAGGAAATGAAATATGATGACAAGCATTATGGTTCGTTGGGTGTCTTTAAGATCTTTATAGTTGCAAGTAGAGCTGTTGGCTTGGACTGGGATGGTATATGGCAAATAAAGGTCCTTCTGTAGTTGCTCTAGAGGCTTACATAGAGCTTTTAGAATAGCACAAGTTGGTTAATCGAATAGAAATCCGGCAGCAACTTAGTGTGATTCTGGCATGGTGTTGGACTAAGATTGAATCCAGCATCATGCTAGAATTACGCTAGCTTGGTTCCTGATTTCTACTTGATTAACCAACTTGTGATATTCAGGATCAAATGATTAGACTTGCTCTACGGTAGCATATAGCCAGTGTTTTGATGTTTTAAATGATTTGCAAGTTGATATTTGATCTAGCACTGATCTTAAGCCATGGAATTGATTTATTGTGACTTACTAAGTTGCCTATGCTTACAGTTTATCCAGGCATGAACCTTATAGAGACACTGTCATCCTAAAGTGACCGATTGTGAATTGTTGAATACTTTTTGTGAGTTACAACTTCTAATGGCACCACAAAGTGACGCTAAGTTGCGCTCTCATCCCTAGTAAACAGCTCTACTTGCTAGCTTAGATCAAGTGGGGTACTTCAAGAGGATAGACGTCCAAAATCATTTACATTTAATCCTATAAAATTCAAAATTGTCAATTTTTTTACAATTTTTTCATAATTTTAAATAATTTTAAAAAGTCGTCGTTCAGCACTACGAAGTTGATGCCAGTAAAGAGTATGTCATTCGTGGAAATGCTGGGATTCTTAAATGTCAACTGCCATCATTTGTTGCTGACTATTTGAACGTTGTTGCTTGGCACACTGACTCTAATGAGTCATTCAGTTCGATTGAGCAAAATTATGGTTCGAATTTAGTCAAATTTTATGTTCTATAAAGCTTGCTGAAGTGGGAATATGATTTATTTTCATAAAATTCATGCACATTTTCCTAATTTTTTGGTATTTCTATTTTCAAAAAATTTACTTTTTGTATAATTTTATTTAATTCAATCAAAAAAAGTCGCGAATCATTTCTACGACGCGGAAGTTCTGTCCGAATACATTATAAAAGGCAATGCTGCCATTATAAAGTGCAACATTCCAAGTTTTGTGACTGATTTTGTTAAAGTTGAGTCATGGGTCGGCACTGAGGGTGGCGATGAGTACAAATATAGTGCAACTGATGAATACAGTAAGGATATATTTCTGGATGTGTCCAGCTAGATGAAAGGGGTGTCGACTGGGATTCATTTTGAAAGTCTCGAAAAATTTCAACATTTTAACTTTATTTTTTCAAAATTTTAAATAATTTTTCAAATAAATTTTTAAAGTCGTCAACCAAATCTACACACCGGGTCTTATGGACAATGAATACATAATGCGTGGAAATGCTGCAATCCTAAAATGTTCAATTCCAAGTTTTGTTGCTGACTTTGTTCAAGTGACAGCCTGGATTGATGATGAAGGACATGAAATTTTTCCTTCTGAAGACTTCGACGGAAGTTAGTGAATTAATTGAGTTTTGACTGAAATTGAGAAAGCTAGATGAAGTTGGTGTATTTTGAGGGGGTCAAAAGTGCTTAATTGACATCAATTACGAACATCCCAAATTTAATTTTATTTTTCAATCCAAAATTCAGATTTTATAATTTAAATTTTTTTAATTTCAAAGTCGTAAGTCAAGTCTACAATCCAGGCTTAATCGACGACGAGTACATAATGCGTGGCAATGCAGCCATAATGAAATGCTTGATACCAAGCTTCGTAGCTGACTTTGTGCAAGTTGTAGCTTGGGTTGATGAGGAAGGACATGAAATTTTTCCGACTGAAGATTTTGATGGAAGTTAGTGACTCGACAATTTTTTTTATGCTAGATTTTGAGGTTTTGGATCAAGTGGGGTGCTGTTTTTGAGGATCATTAACTTCTGAGGATTTTTTCCATTTTTAAAAAAATTATTTAACAATTAAATATCCAAAAAATTATTCAAATTCAATGTTGTGTCATTTTTGGGGTTCAGTCATCAATCAATTCTACGATCCGGGTCTAATGCCAAGCGAGTTCATAATGCGCGGAAATTCTGCAATTTTAAAATGCTCAATTCCAAGTTTTGTCGCTGATTTCGTCTATGTGACTTCATGGATTGATGATGAAGGCATTGAATACACACCGACGGAAGATTTTGATGGAAGTTAGTGAATTTGGGAATTTTTGATGCTTGATGAGCAGCTACATGAAGTGGGATTCTTGACAAAATTCTAGGCAAACTTACAAAAATCTTTTAAAAAACGATCAAAAAATGGTCAAAAAAAATTTCTTAATTTTGAGGATTTTAAAATTAATTTTCAAATTCAGTCGTCAACCAACACTACGATCCAGCATTACTGCCAACAGAATATGTCATGAGAGGCAACTCAGCCGTACTTAAATGTTCAATTCCAAGCTTCGTTGCTGATTTTGTGTCAGTCACAGCTTGGATTGATGATGAGGGACATGAAATTGTGCCAGTTGATGACTTTGATGGAAGTTAGTCGCTTTAGGTTTTGAATTATTATGATTAAGTGCGCTATGCAGCTATAGAAGCTATTTATATCTTGAAGATGAAGTGGGATGTGATTCGATTAGTTTTGAGGATCATTTGAATCTTGGGTTGAAGCTATAATGCCTTACTAGCGTCACTAAGTGACCGTACTAAACTTATATCTAGGCTATGTGTCCACAATATCTCACAATCTACCCTAAACCTTTCCAGTCGTCAATCAATTCTACGATCCTGAAATTCTCGGTAAAGAATACATAATGCGTGGCAATGCAGCCATTCTTAAATGCACAATTCCAAGCTTTGTAGCTGATTTTGTGTCAGTCACAGCTTGGATTGATGATGAGGGACATGAAATTGTGCCAGTTGATGACTTTGATGGAAGTTAGTCGCTTTAGGTTTTGAATTATTATGATTAAGTGCGCTATGCAGCTATAGAAGCTATTTATATCTTGAAGATGAAGTGGGATGTGATTCGATTAGTTTTGAGGATCATTTGAATCTTGGGTTGAAGCTTTAATGCCTTACTAGCGTCACTAAGTGACCGTACTAAACTTATATCTAGGCTATGTGTCCACAATATCTCACAATCTACCCTAAACCTTTCCAGTCGTCAATCAATTCTACGATCCTGAAATTCTCGGTAAAGAATACATAATGCGTGGCAATGCAGCCATTCTTAAATGCACAATTCCAAGCTTTGTAGCTGACTTTGTGTCTGTAGTAGCTTGGATTGATGATGAAGGTCTGGAATATACACCAGCGCCTGAGGGGACATTTGATTCGGGTAATTAGTGACTTGCATGATGAATTTTGTCTTGTGACTAAAAATTGAGAGCATTTTGTTTGGTGATGGGATCAAAATGTTCTACTGAAACATCTACATGAAGTTGGGATGGCTTAAATTTAAGTAAATTAAGGAAGTTTGTCTGCGAAATTGAAGATTTAAACTCAAAATTAATCAAAAAATCTAATAAAAAATTCTCGCAGTCGTCAATCAGTTCTACGATGCTGAAATAACCAAAGAATACGTTATGAGAGGCAATGCAGCCATCCTTAAGTGCCTCATTCCATCATTTGTGTCAGACTTTGTTCATGTAATCGCTTGGGTTGATGAAGATGGACACGAATATGTCAGTGAGAGTGACTTTACTGGGGGTAATGGTCAAATTTTTTCTATTTTTTTGAAGCTCTGCTTAAGCTTGACATTTAGATGAAGTTGGGATTGACAATCTTGAAAATTATGTCACAAAAAATCTTAAAAAAATATTCAAAATTTAAATTACAGTCGTTCATCAATTCTACGATCCAGGACTAGTTGACAAAGAGTATGTCATGCGTGGCAATTCAGCTATTATGAAATGTCTCATTCCAAGCTTTGTTGCTGACTTTGTCTTTGTTGATGCTTGGATTGATGAGAATAATAGCGAATATAAGTTGAATGAGAGGGACTCGGAGGGTCTGCCTGGGGGTAAAAAAATTGATTTTTTAAAATTGTGTAGTGACAAACAGCTGGATGAATGTGGGATGGATTCTTGGAAATTTTGATCATCAATTTAAAAAAAACATAACCTCAAAAACTTAAAAATCAAAAATATTAATATTCCAGTAATCAATCAAGTCTACAACGCTGAAATAACTCCAAATGAGTACATAATGCGAGGAAATGCTGCAATCATTAAATGTTTAATTCCAAGCTTTGTTGCTGACTTTGTTCAAGTTGTAGCTTGGATCAGTGAGGATGGGGAGGAATTCTTAAGTGGAACTGATATGAGTGATGGTAAAGATGGGGTTGATGTAGTAGTTGAGGGGTCTGACAGCTAGAATATACAATTTTTTGTAGGCAATGAAGTGAGATGCTTGCTTGGTGGTTTGATGATTGTTTTAAAATTTGAGCCTTCAAGTTCAGATTATGGAATAGCTCGAATTCTAACCGAGTCAGTTTCTTCTAATTGAATTAGAGTAAGGAAGAACTTATAATTGATTAAAATGGTTCTTTTAAATTTTGCATCATTATGATCAATTCTGTGAATATGATTTTAACTTGACTTGACTCTATCTTATTCAAGTCAACTTGATACAATTTTATTCGAGTCAACTGGATTCAGCTTAAGTCAAGCCATCTTGACTCAATTCAGTCAATTTAACTTGATTCTGGTTAATGCAAGTCAACTTGACTTTATATCAGTTGAGTAAACTTGACTATGTTTTGGTCAAATCAATCTGATTAAATTTCATAAAATCCAACTTGACTTTATTTTAATCAAGTCAACTTGACTAGAATCATTATTGACAATATCAGCTTGGATTTTTGGTTTTTCAAACTTTTTGCTTTACATTCTCAATTAAAAACCAGAGTGCTATGTGACTAGCTACCTTAAATAACCCAGATTTTCTTCTACCTTAAAAAAACCATAATTAATTTCATGACATTTTAATTCAACAATTTCCTTCCAAAAAGCCGTCATTCAATACTACGAAGTCGAGTCTGACAACGAGTATGTGATTCGTGGAAATGCAGCAATCATGAAATGCAAAATTCCATCTTATATTAGCGACTTTGTGGCGGTTGATATGTGGCAGGACACTGACAACTTCACATACTATCCGAATAACACTGAAGGTTGATTTTGAGAAAATTGTTTGATATTCTTGAAGTGGGATGATTAGTAAGACGATTGAAATTTAAACTTAAGTGTGTGGATTGAGGAATTGAGTCCGGTAACCACTACTGCACACCTGAAAAAGCTTCAATATTTTCCAAAAAGCCTTGAATTATTTTAATTTAATTTTTTCTTAATTTTTCTTCAAAATTTTTAATTTTATTCCACAAATTAGTCGTCGCTCAGTCCTTTGAAATTCGAGTAATTGACGAATTCGTCCTCCTTGGCAATGCTGCAATCTTGAGATGTGCTTTGCCTTCGTTTATTGCTGATTTTGTGTCTGTTGTCTCGTGGGTTATTACTGATAATGATGATGTTGATGAGATTCCGCTAGAACAAGGAAACAATATGGGTAAAGAATTGATTATGTTCAAGAATTGGACTAAGTCAGCTAGATGGGGTGTCAGGAGCTTTTTGATTGTGATTTTTTATAAAGCTGAATAAAATCTTTAAATAAGCATAATTTTTCAAATTTATTTTTTATCATTTAGTCGTCAAACAATACTTTGAAAGTCAAGTCTACGACATTTTCGTCATGCGTGGAAATTCAGCTATTTTCAAGTGTCAAATTCCATCTTTTGTGAGCGATCACGTTGACTTACTTGAGTGGGTTAGCACCGAGAATGACACGTACAAGACTGGCGAAGAAGAATTCGGTTAGAAATGAAATTTCTTGAATGTTTATAGACTTCCTTTAAATTATGTTTTGACCAAATTTTGAGGATTTTTTTGGAATTTTCAGTTTCTGTCTCAGTTTTTGGTTATTTTTTAAGTTATTTAATAATTTTAATTATTGATCCCGAGTAGCACAAGTCTGTTAATCGTTCAAATCCTACGATAAGCCGGTGTGACTCAAATCCAGCTCCATGCCAGAGTCAAACAGGTTTTATGTCGGATTTGATCGATTAACCGACTTGTGGTATCCAGGAATATTGTTTGGTTCATCTTAGATTATTGGTTTCAAAGGGAAAAGGTTAAGATTTCGGCGGGGAATGAGAACTTGAATATTAAGCAGGGTTAAACTACTTGCCAAGGATAATACCAAATACCATGCTTACGAAAGACATTATCAGAAAATCTTAAGGTTCCAGGCTGTTTCCAAATCCAAAACCAAATCTTTAAAAATTGATTCTTAAATCTACTTCCAGTCGTCTCCCATCCATTCTCAGTCAATCTCATGGACGAGCATGTTTTGAACGGAAATTCAGCAATTCTAAAATGTCACATTCCGTCCTTTGTTTCTGACTTTGTCACAATTGATGCGTGGATTGATGAAGAGACTGGCGATGAGTTTAGATATGAACATGCTGGAATGTCCAGTTTAGGTTCGAGAAATTAATTTTGGATGTCAAATTTCATAGCTTTTTGTGCACATTTTTCGAATTTATTGCATATTTTAAGGTTAAATTTAAAAATTTTTGGTTGATTTTGAATTTAAGTTTTCAAAATTTAATTTTAATTATTTCAATTTATTTGTTAAACTTTCCTTTTTGTCGACTAATTTTGTTACTAACACGATTTTCTGTTGAAAATTAATTTTTCCGATCCATCAAAAATTTGATTATTGAAATTGTCAAAAGTGACTAAAAAATCCTCAAAATGAAAATCAAGAAAGCATCCCACTTCATCTAGCTGTTTTAGTTGTTAATGCATGTTAACTTTAATTAATGATAATTTGAAAGGTTTTCAGCAATTTCACAAAATCGAAAATTTAACAATTTAACTTTAATTGCTGGAAACTTTACATTGCAAAATTTGTGACTAACCAAAACTTTCAAATTTGTGTTCAACTTTCTTAAACATTTCAATTTTAATGTCAATTTTTAAAATAAAAAAATTGAAAAAATGGTTTTTTTCAATTTTAAACTCAGTTTTTTAAAAATTTTAATCAATTCACAAATTTTGTAATATTTATTTTGTATTAATTTTGAAATTTATGAATTTTTTGAAATTTTTCCAAAATTTTGAAAATGTTTTGGTTTTCAAAAATTAAATTTTTAAAAAATTCATGAATTTCTCAAAAAAATTTTGAAAGTTGAAAGCAATTTTTCTTATAAAAATTTTAAACATTATTTTTAAAACTTAATTTTTATAAATTTTAAATAAATCATTGAAAAAACCATTTAAAAATTAAAATCTTCAAATCAAAAATTTTAAACAATTTAATATTAATAGCTTAACTTTCAAAGTTGTCAGCTTTTAGAATATTTCTTAATCTAAATGTTAAATTACTTTAAAAAACACGAACTTTTTCTAATAAAATAATTTTTACCTCCCAACCAACTTCAAAACCAAAAATCACAGACGGAAAATACCTCGTGCTTCCATCTGGCGAACTTCACATCAGAGATGTTGGTCCTGAAGACGGCTACAAGAGCTACCAATGCAGAACAAAACATAGATTGACTGGAGAAACAAGACTGAGTGCTACTAAAGGACGTTTAGTCATCACTGGTGAGTCCAAAGTTGCCAGAAAAAAAGTTTCGTTGATTTTTTAACGAAATTTTGTTTGTTTTCTTTTTTTGAATGGAAAATTTGCTTGAAATTCATTTAAAACTCAATTGAAAAATAATTATTTTAAAAATTTTCAAAATGTGTTTTAAAAACTTTTTTTTTTTAAATTTAAGAAAAAAAAATGTTTTTTTGTCGATTCTGAATTTGAGCAAATTTTCACTTTTTGGTTTTAAAAATTGAATTCTTAAACTAAAAATTGATCAAAATTTGGATTGAATTCAAATTTATAAAAACATTTAAAAACAAATCTTTAACGTATTCTTGAATAATTTACAATCGTCAATTTTTAGAACCAAACCTAATTTTATTTATTTTAAAATGACAGTTATTTAAATCTAAAGCACAATAAATTTTAAAAATCTTTTAAATGAAATTTTGCCCTGAATTTTGAATTTTTGCATTAATTTATTGTGCTTCAACATTTTGACACAAAAATTTATTATTACAACTTTATTCAAAAATGCAGAATAATAAAATCTTAAAACAAATTAAATTTAAATTTTGAAATTTTTGAAAAAATCAAAAACATTTAAAAATCAAAACCAAAAAATTTTTATACATTTAAAATAATTCAAAAAAAAACCTTAAAACAAAAAAAAACATAAATTTCAAAAAAAAAACACAATTTTAGCAAATTTTTGTGTCAAAATGTTACATTTTAATATTTTTTTTATATTGAATGAAAACAAAGAAATCAAGCGCGATTCAAAAGAATGAAGAAAAAAGAGAATTTAGTCAAAATTATTGAACCTTGTTTGACTTAAATTTTTCAAAAACAAAACCTTAAATAACTGTCAAAATCATAATTTTAATTTTTAAAAGATTTAAAATTTAAGTTTTTCTTGTCAATGAAACTTTGAGAGAGAAAAGGAAAGAGGAAGCCCAAAATTAATTGTTTTTAAGGTTCTTTGTGGTGCACTCAGGCTGTGTCTTACTATAAATATTGAACAAGGGGGTCCCTCTCTTGAAAAAAATTGTGCCATGTCGATCTAAAAAGACCCACAAAATCAGTTTTTATCTCTTTTAATCCGTAATGAACGCATTTTATTCTAAAAGCAAAACCTTAATTGTCACAAATTACAATTATTCAATCAATAGACCCCCCTTCCCCAAAAGACCCCCAAACCCATCTGTTTACACATTTTTTTAAAACTCTCACAAAAACCTACCAAAAAAAATCTTTATTTTTAAGAACCAATCGCGTCAACAAACCCCAAACTTGGTGGTGGAAATGACAAAAAGCACATGAGCGGCATTTTTAGTTCCGACATTACAATTATGAGTTGCGCTGCTCAGGCTTATCCTGCACCTGTTTTTCGGTGAGTTTTGAGTTTATTTTTTTTGTTTTTCGTTGCACAAAATTTTGCACACATTTTTTCTGGACCGCACAAAATGCTTGATGAGCACTGAAATATATTTTTTTGGGTATGAAGCTTCGCAGTTGATTTCTTTGTGGATTTATTTTTGAGTTTTTCGCAAGTTTTTCGTTATTTTGGAACCAAAATCTTACTCAATATTGTCCATAGAACCTGTAAACAAACTTTCACCACGAGTTAATGTTGCTGATAAATTGTCAATGCTTGTTGGAACTGCTGGTTCAATTATCAGCATGACTTTTAATGCACAAGCTAGTCCGTCGCCTGTTTTTAGGTTTGTTTTGAGTCAAAAAAGTTTAAATTTATTTTTTGATGATTTATTTGAAGTAATTCTGGTCGTTATTTTGGAAACTTAAAACTGCAAACTTGTTAAATTCTCGCATAAATAAGTCAAACATTCTTCTGAGTCTTTCATAGTTTTGAGCACTTGATATTGGGATTGTGGATTGGAGTTTCATTAATTTTGATGGTTCGAAACAAATTCTGTCGAATTTCCAAATGTTTTCTATGAAGGTTGTGAAGTCATCTGCCTGTCGTCGTCCTGGAAGATTTTGAAATATTTTATTTAAAGTTTTGAATCTTTAACCATCATAGACAGGCAACATTGAGCCATAATATACGATTTTTGACTCTCAGAACAGTATAAGTCGAAAAGTCAACTTACTTCTTATTTTTGGCATAAGTTCGAAGCCAATTTCGTAATTTTTGGAGCTTCCTTCTTCGATACTTGTGAGTGTGTTTCTGGAATCATTCAAATCGTCGTCTAAACCTTGAATTTTACTAATTATTGAGGCAGCGTCAGTTGATGGCTTTAGAATAAGCAGGATTGAAGCCATTATGATGAGTTTAACTGATGCGCCCATTTTTTTATGGTTCTGAATTTGTTGTTGTGTTCCAATTTGAATATATTTGTTCTCAGTCAGAGCTACCAGTTAAGGACTAAGTTGAGATAATGTATCAATCAGTTAATTTATATTAATTTTAAAGTACCTGAATTTGTAAAAAGTTTAGAGCCAAACTTAAAATAATCTCAATTCAGCAGCGTAGTCACTGTCTTTAGCCACAATTTTTAGAATTTTGACAAAACTTTTTCTCATTTTTCTCTGAATCTCGTGGATTGATTTCTTTGTTGAATGACATCACCCCTCTTCCCCCCAACCCCCTTCCTCCTGCTCTTTAAAATTTGCAATTATTTCAATTCTCTTTTCAAGAACCAATTGGTCATATCCCACCAAAAGTGAACCCTCAAGATCGATCAGTAGTCCTTGATGGGTCAATTGGAAAAACATTGGATCTCATTTGTGCTGCACAAAGTTATCCGCAGCCTGTTTTTCGGTAAGAATCTTCATTTAATGATTTTTTGTTGTTCCTTTAAGTCTGAAGTTTTTAGGCAGTTTCTAGACAGCTTGAGATAGGCTGAACAACTGCTCACTTTTCAGCGGGGCAGTCTCGCTTTTTTTTTTGAAGAATGTCATGAGTCTTCTGGAAGGTACAAGGTGTAGAAACGGTCGAAAATGTGAAAACAGGAAGGCTTGAAAATGGCACCACGCCAGATCATCCTAGAGCCTCATTTTCTTGTCTAAAGCTGAATTCCGCATATTTCACCATTTTTGACAAAAATCGATGGAAAGCTTAGCTCATTGATTCTTCAATATATTCTTTATTCCAGTGTTGTCCAACCTTTTTTCAGCCATTGCACACTTTGACCTTAGATATTTTTCCACGGCACACCTAAGGATGTCCTACGACATACCAGTGTGCCACGGTAAACAGCTTAGACAACACTGCTTTATTCTCTCTCAAATAATCTTAAAATCATATTCACACAAAATTTTTATTTTTTGGTTTCTGATTTGTCCGGTGTCTCTAATTTTGCTTGATTTCTTGGTTTCGTTCCTACTTTATTGACAAATTTGTTGACTTTATCTTTTTTGAAACTTTAGAACCAATCAACAAACTTTCACCAAAACTCACAACTGGAGAAAATATTCAAGTTATTCGATTCAATACTGATGAACACATTTCAATGCTATGTGCTGCTCAAGCAAGTCCACCGCCTATTTTTAGGTTTGTTTTGATGATTTATGAGTTGATTTAAATGCTTATAAGGCACAATTGGATCTTTAGTTGTCGAGTTTTTAGATTCTGGAATGTAATGTGGGGTTTTGTTTATAACAAAAGCGGCACTTCCATCGATGATCTGTTGGGTCCCGGGAGGATAGTCAGAACTTATCCATTTAACTCAAGGGTTTTGAATATTTTTGACTTAGAAACTTAAGTTTTGACGAGGATCTTACTTCATTTAAAGCTCTTCTTAAAAGGTTCTTAAAACCTCTTCTGTTTGACATCAAGCTTGATTTCTTTCGAGTCAATCAGTTGTTCCTGATGACATTTTCAATTTTAATTCACATATTTTGTCTGATCTTTCAGAACCAATTTCAAGTACACCGCCAAAGATGTCGACTGTTGATACTCGACCTGTATATTATCCATCAAATTACTCATTTTCACTCCTGTGTCCTGCTCAGGGTTATCCAGCTCCTAGCTTTAGGTACTTTTAATTGCATTATTGCTTTTTTTTGTCACTTCCTTTCTAATTTCTCATTCTCGAAGTTGATTTGATGAGTCTTTAGCCTCCTTAATTGATATTTTGCTTGATTTTCACATTGGTTTCGTTTAAAGTTCAGTTTCTTAAATCCAAATAATGACGATTTAAATTTAAATTTCAAGAACCTATCGGACATGTTGCTCCCAAAGTCAATGACATAGAAAAAGCTCACATTTTGTCTCGTGAGATCAACAAGTCGATCAATTTGTTGTGTCAAGCTCAAGCTTATCCAACTGCTTCTTTTCGGTAAATACTAAAGTCGAACATATCTTTTTTGTGAATTCTGCATTTGATTTGGTTGTTGTGGGTCTGGCGATTCAGATTAAATTTAGTTTACTTGCCTTTTTTGTGCTTTGTTCATGATTTCTTTGGGTTCATTCAATCTTCCTAATATACATAGTCAATACCAATCCTTAGTTGCAATGCTTACAAGCTCTTCAGTCCTACTGAGCATTCACTTTGTCCAAAAGGATCAATAAAGTAGTCTGTGGCTACATATTTTGAAAATCACATCCTTTCTCTCATTAAAGAACCAATTGGACACGTTGCTCCGAAAGTTAATGACGCTGATAGGTCTCATGTGACTACTCGTGGAATTAACACATCAATTAGCATGTTGTGTCAAGCACAAGCATATCCTGCTGCTATGTTTAGGTAAAAATACTCGAAAATCTTGTTCTGTTTCGTGTTTCCTTGCCTTTTGTAGGTTTTTATCTCAATTAGGGTTTTACTTGACAAATTTGCTCTTATTTCTGGCTGGATTTTGAATCTGCAGCTTGATTTCTTTTGGTTCTTCAACTTTTAGGCTATTTTGTATAAATTAAAAAAAAAAATTCTTTCTTTAAAGAACCAATCGGACATGTTGCACCAAAGGTTAATCTTGGTGACAAATCTCAAGTTGCTATTAGTAGCATTGGACATACTGTCAGTATGTTGTGTCAGGCTCAAGCTTATCCATCCGCAATGTTTAGGTAATTAATCTTAAAAATCGTTATTTTGCTAGCTTTGGCAACTTACTCATTGATAATCAAGTTCAGATTCTCAAAAAAAAAATTCTTCAGTTCCTCGAATCGCGCTAAACTTTTACAACAGATTTCTTGGTCTTCATTTGACTGTCTTGACACTTAATTTTTACTAATTACTTCCATTTTCTCCATAAAGAACCTATCGGGCATGTGGCACCAAAAATCAATCTTGGTGATAAGTTTCAAGCTAGTATATGTGACATTGGGCAGACAGTAAGCATGTTGTGTCAAGCTCAAGCATATCCATCAGCGATGTTTCGGTAAAGTTGAGGTTTTGATTCACTTTGGTGTAATTTTGCAGAACTAGGTTTTGATCATAATGATTAGTTTCAGGGAAGTAGCAAGTTCAAGGGGAGTTCAATCCCGGGATTGAAATGTATGTAATCCCAGGATCCAACCCGGGATTCAGCACATTTTAATCCCGGGATTGAAAACCCTAGGAGCAAATGATTTTGAAGATATTTGGTATTTTTGTGTTCCTAGAGGCTGAAAATCTGGCGTTTCTCTTTTTGCGGAGCCACTAATCGGTCGTCCAGCCCCCTTTTTGAAACAATTTATTCAATGTGGTTCCTGAAAAAAATAATTCTAACCCCGAAAAAAATTCTCGTTAAGCCTCTCGAGCTGATCAGTTCCATACCAAAAACATATTTCACGATCATTTTGAGACAATAGGAAGTCAAAAGGGTCAAAAAATCTTAAATTTGAATTTACATCCATTCAGTCATCCTTCAATTGCGCTTGATTCTCTTTGTTTCCATCCAAAATTGATAATAAATAAATCTTCATCTTTAAACCTAATCCAAACTTTTCCCATAGAACCAATCGGTCACGTTGCTCCCAAAGTCAATGATGGCGACAAGTTCCACGTTACTGAACGATCTGTTGGTCGAACAGTCAATATGATGTGTCAGGCTCAAGCCTATCCTGCTGCAATGTTTCGGTAAAAATTACATTTCAAAAAATTTTTTTTTTTGTGAATTTCTTTTTATTAAAATTTATATTGAACTGAAATGATTAATAAGGCAAAAGGAACTTGATGTTGTCCTGATTCTAGTCCGGTTCTAGAATTGTCTCTCCAGTTGCTTCCCATCAGTAAGAAATCACAAAGCCTAGCCACTTCTTAGACCTTCTTCAACAGCAATCTTTTTCCAAGTCTGAATATCTTCATACGCCCATGCTGTTCAGCATGCTTAGCTTCATTTGGATGAACAACTCTCAATGGATTATTCTTAAAATCCTCAAAATTCATCTCCAAATTCTTCAATTTACGCTTCATGATTTTAATTTGATGTTCCTGCTCTGAAAAGTCTGATTCCGATCGTAGTTCCTCAATTTTATCAAACAGTTCCTGCAATGATGTTTTGAATCCTTTAAGCAGTTCAGCATGAATACCTGGATGTCTATCCTCATCTCTTGTTGGCACTTCCATTGCATATGTGTCGAATTTTTCTTGGAATTCTTGAAGGTTTTCTTTGAAGCTAAACATTGATTTTGGGTGGACTGTTAAGCCTTTAAGGTATTCAAGGTCACGTTGGGTTTCAGTACGTAATTTACAAATCTGATGGGACAAGTCGACGCTCTTGAATTCAAAAATGTTGAAGTTTGTGTTGAGTTCCTGTGTGTTCCTGTAAATCAATTCTCTGAGGTCATCTTGTTCCTTTTTGAGGCTCGCAATTTCAGATTTTAAGTGCGTGGCTTCAACTTTCATGAATGCATTTTCCTTCTTCAGCTGCATGGTCTCCTTTGTAAATTCCGTCAAGATGAACAATTTTTCATCAATTTTTGTGAATTTTTGCTTAAAATCATCCAAAAGTTTGTAGACACTTTGAAGCTCGCTGATGTCCTCATTAATTGTAATTCGTCCAGAAATCTCCTCGATTTTATCATCAATAATTGTCACTTCCTCTTCAAACTTCTCATCGATTTGCTTTGTAAATTGGTTCCTCAAATTCTCAATTTTATCTTCGTGCGCAAAAATGTCAGCAACTTTTTGAAATATTTCATCTTCTGTTGGTTTGGGACGAATTGGTCTTGGTGTGGCTTGTTGTGTTGAACTTGGCTGGTGTGACTTTAGAAATTCATCAAACTTTATTCTATATTCATTTGAAAAAGCATCCAGCCTGTCCTCAAAACAGACATAAACTCCATTAAAGTGTAATTCAAAGGTTTTGTCAACAGCTTTGAGGATATCCGCTTTTAGATCGATGTAATTGTCGTTGCATTCTAAATTATTGGCAGTTGTTTGGCTTGTTGACAGTTCAGAGGAGTCAGCTGGATCATTTTGAGGAGCTTCGATCTTATATTCAGTCAATTTTGACTCTGTAAGCTCAATTACGTCAGCAGAAGTTGATAAATTGACGCTGATTGCGGCGATGATGATGAATTTGGCGATTTTGTTCATTTTTGATGAATTTTTCAATTCTTAAACAAAGAATTGGACTCAAATTTGGTTGATTGATGCTGCAAAATCCTGAATTTTGGCTATTGTTGCCAAATATTCTTGTTTTTTGATGATTTTAAAGCTTAACTTTGGTTTTTAATTTTTATTTGGCTGAAAATTCTTGCAATTTTAATTAAAATGATTGAAAATCAGATCCGAAACAACAGAATTGATTCTCAAAACTGATGCTTATGCTGAAATTTTGCATCCTTTTTATACGGTTTTGGTATTTGTAAAGTTTCTGAAGATATTGCTTCCAATAAGAATCTAATTAAGTTTAGCTGAATTGCAATTCTTTTGATTTTTGTTTGTCAATAAACAAAGTTTCAAAATTTTAATTTTTTTCAACTTAATTTCAAAATATTTTGAGGTTAATTTGATATTAAAAATTACAAAAAATTACAAAATTTTAATCCCCTTACCCAGTGGTGTCCAACCATTTTCGTCCGACGGCACACCTTAGTTGTAATTCATTACCAAAACCGCACACGTCATACGGTTCGTGAAATTTTTAAAAAATTTTAAATTTCACACTAGTGTGCCGCGGCACAAAGGTTGACAACCACTGCCCTAACCTACTTTAATTACCGAATTTAACAAAAACTTTGAAAAACTTGATTTAAAATCACATCATTTGATCTTCAGCTTGATTTCTTTGATTTCAATTTTTCAATCAGGGGTCGTTTATAAATGATGTTCCACTGTTAAGAGCTAGTGGTTCCAGAATAATCAGTTATTGATGAATATCATGATGATTCCATTACAAACCATGAATTTCAAGCCCTTTCACACTTAAAACTTAAACATCATTTATCAACAATCCCTAAAATTAATCCAAAAAGTATAAGAATCAATCTTAGCAGCAATAGCTGAATATTTTAATGAGAACTTTTAATTCGATTCAGAACCAATCTCATCAACACCCCCAAGACTCTCAACTGTTGATGCTCGTCCACTCATGATTCCAGTGAGCGGTTCCTTTTCTCTCGTCTGTCCTTCTCAAGGTTTTCCAGCTCCTAGCTTTAGGTATTTTTAAGACAGTAAAAATTATGATTTTGGGTTGCAGAACCTCTTCTTTTGAACGTCGTTGCTTGATTTCATTTGATTTTTGTCATATTTATCCAATGCTGCCTTATTCTTGATTTCTAGAACCAATTTCATCACTTGCTCCTAAAATTAACGACGATGATCGCACAAAGCAAGCTACTCGCAGATCTAATAATGTTCTGAGTTTAAATTGTCTGTCACAGGCATATCCTGCACCGCTGTTTAGGTTGGTTTTTAATTTCTGGAGATTTTATTTGTCTAAATCTTTTGTCAAGTTCTTTTGGGTTCCTTTGGACTCATCGGAAGTCTCGCAAAAATTCTAGTTCCTTAAATAAGATCAACTTTTGAAAGTTCATTCTTCAACATCACGCTTGATTTCTTAACATTCGTCAAATGATCTAAAACTCATGCTTAACACTTTTCTAAATTTTCTCAGAACCAATTGGAAGTGTTGCACCCAAAGTGAACATGGGTGACGGAACAATCTTCCGAAAGGAGGCTGGTCATCATATTAATTTGCTGTGTAATGCACAAAGTTATCCATCTCCATTGTTTAGGTTTGTACATTTGTGCATTGTTGCTTTCATGATGAAGTTTTGCAGTGGTGGACAACCTTTTTTGTGCCAAGGCACATCTTGGTGATGAGTCATGACCAAAACCGCACACAGCTTATGGTTCGTGGGATTTTGGGATTTTTCAGTATGCCGCGGCACAAGAGTTTGCCATCACTATAGTCTAGTCTTAAAAATGGTTGTTATATCTCTATAGGGACAGTACTAGCATCTCATTCAGGCGCGGAGCCAGAAGGGTATAGTCCCCCTCTTAAGCGTTTTAGACCTTGCTCTCGCTGCGGTTCAAAACGTTTAAGGGGGACAAGACCCTCCTGGCTAAGCTCTTGATCTCATTAGACCTTTTTTGGGTCTACCTTCCTCAATGTCTCTCAAAAGTTGACAACTAAAACGCAATCTGAGCTTCCTAACCTTAATGCTTAATAATTAATTCTTAATAACAGAACCAGTTGGATACAAAGCACCTGTATTCAGTACTGACTCGAAAGGAAGCATTTTCGAGAGAGCAATTGATTCAACTGTGACTTTGTTATGTCAAGCTCAAGCACATCCCATTCCGTCTATTAGGTATTGAGGTTTAAATCGCATTGATTTGTTGTAAGCTCTAAACAGAGCTTCATCCAGTTCTTCTCTCAAAGTTTCTCGATTGACAAGTTTATGGATTGACATTAGCCAATTAATGATGCAATTTCTGTTTTAGAACCGATTTCTTCAACTCCACCTCGTTTATCAAATAGCGACACTCGACGTGTCTTTTTGGGTTGGGGTTGTCTTTACTTCAGTGCTAGATTAAATGAAGTCTTTTAGAGACATCCGACTGCTGAGGGTTCTTAGAACTTTCCCAAACAATTTACATTCTCTAGCTGAGGATTTAGGCTTCCTTGGACTTCCCAATGCTATGTAAAGCAGCTTAAAGGCTGAAAGGCTTTAAAGGTTTTAAAGCAGCTTAAAGGCTGAGCAAAAGTAAACTCTCTCCAAATTCTCATAATTTTCCTCTCAAAGCTCTCAAATTGACAAAAAAAAATCAACTTTACTCAAAATTCTATCATTTTAGAGCCAATCTCCTCAACACCGCCCAGAATGTCGAACAAAGACACTCGTCAAGTCTTCATTTATGTTGACGAAAGTTTCTCACTTTTATGTCCAGCTCAAGGCTTTCCAGCACCGGGATTTAGGTTGGATATGTTTTTTTTTTTGGTTTGTCTCTAGCTTTTGATTCCAAGGATCTGCTTGATTTCTTTGAATTCTTGCTTGTTTTTGACTTTAATTTTACATTTTTGAAATAAATTCTTATTCCTACAGAGCCTGTTAACTTGAGAGCTCCTGTTTTCAATTCTGAATCTAAAATCAGTCAGTTCCAAAAGTCAATGAACACAGATATTGCTTTACTTTGTCAGGCACAGAGCTTTCCTGTTCCTTCTGTTAGGTACGAGTTTTTCAAATTGAAAATTATTGAATTTGGCTTGAAGGTTGTTGAGTTGGAGTCAAAAATGGTCAAAAGTCAATCTTGGTCTTAAAACCACAAAATTCTTCAAAACTCGCTTGATTTCTTTAAAATTCATTCAAATTTGGAACTAAAATTCTAGTCAAACTTTCTTAATAAATTTCACAGAACCCGTCGCATCTGTTTCGCCGAAAATTCAATCTGGCGATGAGTTCAAATTTATCAAAACTAAATTTGGTGAATCGTTGAGCATTTTGTGTCCAGCTCAGTCATTTCCGACTCCTGTTTTTAGGTAATAATGCTTGTTAAGTTGAAAAGTGTTGATAATCGTGGATGATGCGGCTCAATTGTGGGAGCCAAACGAGTTTAGCTTAAGGTTGATTTCAAAGGCTGCTCTCCTGCTTCATTCTGGATCAATTCAATCTGAGCTGTTTTTATTATTTCATTGCTCTCAAAATTTCCTCCCAAAATTCTCTCAAAGCTTCACGCTCGAATGACACAAGTCAGTTAATTGATCTGAGATCCAGCACTAAACCGGTGTGACTCTGGCATAGCACTGGATTCAAATCAAACCCAGCACCATGCCAGAATCATGCTGGCTTGGCTTCAGATTTCTATTCAATTAACCGACTTGTGCTATTCGGGATGACAAGAACTTCAAAATTCTCTCAAATATTTAAAAAACTTCACTAAAACTTTAAACTTTCTAGAGCCGATAAGCTTTAAGGCTCCAGCATTCAACAGTGACTCTAAAACAAGTCGCTTTGAACGCGATCAAAATTCATCAATTTCATTGCTTTGCCAAGCTCAGGCTGCTCCGGTTCCTGTATTTAGGTAATGCTGAATAATCAGTTGTTCCTTCAATCTTCTTTGAATCGCTCAATTTTCATTGTTTTCATTCAAAATCTTTCATTCAAAATTCAAAAACAAAATCTTTAATTTTGATAAAAATATTTCAGAGCCAATCGGTCATAAAGCTCCGTCATTTGCAAATGATGTGAAGAGTATTTCAATTTCTAGAGAGATTGACAGTCCATTTGAGTTGTCATGTCGTGCACAGGGATATCCTAGTCCTAGTTTTAGGTACTTTACATTATTTTGAGTTTTTTGAGGTTATCTAAGGTTCGATGTTGATTTGGCAATTTAGATTTTAGATTAAGGGGCTTGAATTCTGTAAGATTTAAGGATTGTGTCATCATGAGATAGATTTTTGGATGATCTCACGATTGGTTCAGCCTCAGTCTTCCTCTTTAACAACTTTTAATTATTATTTTAAAAGTTGACAATTTTTTTAACAACAAATTTGAGTCTCGCTTGATTTCTCGACAAACTTTCTTAAAACAGTTAAACTCTAAAATCCGTTTAATCTTAATTTTTTAAATTCAGAACCAATAAGTCGAGTTCCTCCACGAATTAGTGGAAGTCGATTACTTGAAGTTGAAGTTAAAGATCAACAATCGCTGTCAGTTTTGTGTTTGGGACAAAGTTTTCCAGTTCCATCGTTTAGGTAAATTTTATTTAATTTATGGACAGGATCCAGTTCTAGATAGCCAAGAACAGTGGAACTAAGACTTTCTAGTCAATCATGAAGGTCAAAACTTTACAAAACTCTCAAAGTTTCATTGACAAAGTCAAAATTAAATCCAAATTTTGATGATTAATTCGATAAATTCTTTCATAAATTTTAAGAACCAATTGGAAGTGTTCCAGTACGTCTGTCTGGTGATCGTCTTCAAGACTTGATTGTTAGAATTGACAATTCATTCTCGATTTTGTGCCTTGCTCAATCATTTCCCACTCCGTCGTTCAGGTAAACATTAATGACTTCTAACTTTTGATGAGATCTATAATGAATCAATCCACGGTTGACTGTCTTACAGACTCCTCCCACCCCTCCTCTATCCTTCTTCTCCCAACTAGAATCCTAGCGAACAAAAAACATTTAAATTTGGCTTCATCTGATAAAAATTCTCTCTCAAAACTTCAAAATTTATCAAAAACTTTAAATCTTCTGACCAAAAAATCAACTTCTAATTCCAATAGAACCAATAAGTCAAGTCAAGCCAGCGATAAAATCAAAGACAATCGAGATTAAAGAAGTTGAAGTTGGTGGCTCCTTCGTTGGTATTTGCTTTGGACAAGCTTTTCCTGTTCCTGTTTATCGGTAATGTTCAGATCCTCAAGATACTCTTCATAATCCACAAAGCTGCGTTGTTGAGTCAAAATTTATTGCAATTTTTTTTTAAATTTTTTTGTAGGAAATTTGAGAACTTTTTTGATAAAAAGCTGCTATTTAAACATTTCAGTGTGACTTAGACCTCCTGGATATTAAGCTTATCCACAATGTTCATTACAATTTGAACAAAAAGTTCTCAAATTTCCTCAATTCGACACAATTTTTCTAACATTTCCTTTCCTTTTCTTCCCCAACCGCACCCCAGATGGTACAAATTTATCGAAGGATCTCAACGAAAATCACCAGTTCCACTCGGCGACAGAATCAAGCAAGTCTCAGGCACTTTAATCATCAAAAATGCAGTCGTTGAAGACTCTGGCAAATACTTGTGTGTCGTCAACAATTCAGTCGGTGGAGAAAGTGTCGAAACAGTCTTAACAGTTACAGCACCATTGTCAGCAGAGATTGAACCAAAAGTACAGACAATTGACTTCGGAAGACCAGCATTATTCACATGCAGATTCTCAGGAAATCCAATCAAGACAATGAGATGGATGAAGGATGGAAAGTTTATTGATCATACTGATGCTATTTTGAGAATTGAGGCTGTAAAGAAGGAAGACAAGGGAAGTTATCAGTGCGTTATTAAGAATGATCAGGAAAGTGCACAAGCTACTGCTGAATTGAAACTTGGAGGACGATGTGAGTTAAAATTTTATTGAATTTTAGAATAGATGTAATCTGGGATCAACCTAGGTCCAAAACTTATACAGCCTAACCTTGATCTAACCTAACCTAGAGCTAGTTCAACTTAGATCTAACCTAACCTAAATCTAATCTAACCTAAATTTAACCCAACCTAGATCAAACCTAACCTAGATCTTACCTAGAGCTTGTCTAACCTAGGTCTAATCTAACCAAGACCAAACATAACCTAACCTTAAACTGATCCCATATAGATCTAACCTAGATCTAACCTAACCTACAGCCAACCAACCAAACAACTCATTATCTTTTCTCATTTAATCTTCTAATTTAGTCGACCCACCAATCATCCGTCAATCCTTTAACGAAGAGATTCTCCATCCAAGCACACCAGTCTTTATCAAATGTATCGCCGGCGGTAATCCAACACCAGAAATCTCATGGGAACTTGATGGCAAGAAAATCTCAAATTCTGAACGATTCCAAGTCGGTCAATATGTAACAGTCAATGGCGATGTCGTCTCATACTTAAACATCACAACAGTTCAAACCAAAGATGGCGGTCTGTACAAATGCGTTGCAGCATCAAAAGTCGGAGTTGTTGAGCACAAAGCACGCTTAAATGTTCATGGTTTGCCATGGGTGAAGCCAATGGAAAAGAAGTCGATTGTATCAGGAGAAACTTTGGTTGTCAACTGTCCAGTTGCTGGATATCCAATTGAATCAATTGTTTGGGAGCGTGAAAATCGAGTCTTGCCAATCAACAGAAAGCAAAAGGTCTTCCCTAATGGAACTTTGATCATTGAGAATGTTGAGAGGAATTCAGATCAGGCAACTTACACTTGCGTCGCTAAGGCTGCTGATGGATATGCTGCTAGAGGAACACTTGAAGTTGAAATTATGGGTAAGTTTTATTATTGCTTATTGATGAATTTAGATTGGAGTAGTTTGAGATGAACTTGAGATTGGGTTTTAAGGGGTTTGAGATTAAAGATTGGTTCTGTTAGAGGACTTAGTAAATGTATCTGATAGACTTGTGGAGATAAATGGGTAGTCAAGGGGTGTGAATGACTAATCCAGGGATATTAACAGGTTATTCAGGGGGTATGAAATGCAAGGAGTGTGAAAAACTGTTAAAGGGTATAAAAAGCTGGCAAGGGGTATGAAAAGCTGTTAAAAGGTATAAAAAGCTGTCAAGGGGTATAAAAAGCTGTGAAAGGGTATCAAAAGCTGTCAAGGGGTATGAAAAGCTGTTAAAGGGTATGAAAAGCTGTCAAGGAGAGTTGAAAACTTTCAAGGGGTACGAAAAAATGTGAGATAGTATGGTAAGCTACCAAGGGGAATGAAACACAGTCCAGGAGTTAAAAAGATAGTCGAGGGATATGAAAATGAGTTAAATGAGAAAAATCTCAGTTAAAACCCTTGTTCATCTCAAGTTCATACAAATATCCTCCAATCATTTTACTCAAAAATATAAAATTTATAAAATCACGACGAAAAGATCTACAAACAAATTCAACTAATTTACGGTAAGTTCACGTCTGAGGCTAATTTAATCCAGACGTTGCCCATGTTTTCTACAAAAATTTTCGCTAATAATCACAAAACTTTGAGCAAGAAACTCAAAATAATCTCTTCGTTGCTCAAAAATGACTCGAATTAAAATTTTAAATCCACAAAATTCAGTCCTCCCACAAATCGTGCCATTTGACTTTGGTGCTGACGAAGTAAACCTCGACGATATGGTATCAGCAATGTGCACTGTGAACAAAGGCGACTTTCCTATTGACATCATGTGGATTCATGCTGACACAAAAGGTGTTGAAAGAAAATTGACCACAAATGATGGAGTTGTGATAACGAGGACGAATCAGAGGATCAGCATGCTGAGTATTGAGTCTATTAAAGCGAGGCACAGAGGAAATTTTACTTGTGTTGCGAAAAATCGAGCTGGAAGTTCACAGCACAGTGCAGTATTGGCTATTAATGGTTTGAAAATTGAGGGATTTTTAATGAATTTTGAATCGACGAGTTTTGCGATTTGTTTCCTTAAATTTTGAATTTCTAAGCTTTTTTAAAATAAAAAATGACCCAATGTTAAATTTGTTCCTCAAAAGTCCTTCCACAAATCAGTCCCTTCTCATTCGGAGAAGAGGAAGTTAACTTTGATGATGCTGTAGCTGCAACCTGCATTATAACAAAAGGAGATGCTCCAATGACTATTTGGTGGAGCTTAGTTGATGACTTTGATAAATTCGAGCGGAACTTGACGACCAGTGATGGAATTATCATCACCAGAACTGGTCAAAAGCTCAGTGTTCTCAATATTGAAGCAGTTAAGGCTCGACACAGAGGAAACTACACATGCTATGCCAAAAATAAAGCTGGAGTCACGCAGCACAGTGCCTTCTTATCAGTCAATGGTTCGATTATTCTTCAATCTTTTTAAAACTGAGACCTTCCTTAATATTCAGAATTTTGCAATTTGGTTCCACATAAAATTATTTGACTTCAAAGCTAACTTTTAAACATGAACATAACCTCAAATTTCCCATTAAGTTCTCCCACAAATCAGCCCGTTCTCATTCGGTGACGACGAAGTAAACTTTGACGATGCAGTCACTGCCACTTGCACAATCACGAAAGGTGACGTTCCTTTAAAAGTTTGGTGGACCTTAAAAGGTGTCGATGATGAATTTCCTCAAAATTTGACAACAAATGATGGAATTATTGTGACTAGAACGACTCAGAAAGTTAGTATGTTGACTATTGAGGCTGTCAAGGCTCGTCACAGAGGCAATTACACATGCTTTGCTCAAAATAAAGGAGGAACTTTACAGCACAGTGCATTTCTCGCAGTCAATGGTTCGATTTTACGTTGATTATTTGTTAATCCTTCTCATCGATCAGAATTTTGCAATTTTAACCTCAAAACTCCAACTTATATTCCTTATTTTAATCAAAAATCACCTTTAGTTCTCCCACAAATCAGTCCAATTTCATTTGGAGAAGATGAAGTCAATTTTGACGACGCTGTAGCTGCAACTTGTATAATAACCAAAGGTGACATACCAATCACAATTTGGTGGAGTCTGGTCGATGATTTTGATAAATTTGAAAGAAATTTGACGACAAGCGATGGAATTGTTATCACAAGAACTAACCAAAAGATGAGCATGTTAGCTATTGAAGCTGTTAAAGCCAGACACAGAGGAAATTATACATGCTATGCTCAAAATAAAGGAGGAATCGCTCAACATAGCGCTTTCTTATCAGTCAATGGTTCGAATTTTTGACTTGAATGTTTGAAAATTTCCAGAAAATCTTCAGAATTTTGCAATTTCATCTCCGAAGCTATTTTTTTTATTCAACTTATTTTGTTAATTTTTTTTGTAATTTTAAAAAAAAACTTCAACCTTAATTTTGAATAATTTGGTCCTCAGTTCTTCCTCAAATCGTTCCCTTTTCCTTTGGTGAGGACGAAGTGAATTTTGACGACGCTATAAGTGCAACCTGCACAATCACAAAAGGTGATACTCCCCTAAAAATTTGGTGGACATTCAAGGGTGTCGATGATGAATTTCCTCACAATTTGACTACAAATGATGGAATTTTTATTACTAGAAATGGTCAAAAATTGAGTCTTTTGAACATTGAAGCAGTTAAGGCTCGTCATCGAGGAAATTACACATGTTTTGCTGAAAATAAAGGAGGATTCTCACAATACAGTGCATTTCTCGCAGTCAATGGTTCGATTTGTGTCTGCTTTAAATTATTTTAATCGTTCAGAATTTTGCAATTTATTTCAACCCCCGAAAAAAATTTAATTTAATTAATTTATATTAACATCAAACCCAACTTCTTAGTTCTCCCCCAAATAAGCCCCTTCTCATTTGGAGAAGAGGAAGTAAATTTCGATGATGCTGTCTCTGCTGTTTGCACAATAACTAAAGGAGACACACCAATCTCAATTTGGTGGACCTTAGTCGACGATTTTGATAAATTTGAACGCAATTTATCAACCAGCGATGGAATTATGATCACAAGAAATGGACAGAAATTAAGTTTGTTGAATATTGAAGCTGTAAAAGCTCGACATCGTGGAAATTACACTTGTTATGCTAGAAATAAGGGTGGAATATCGCAGCACAGTGCATTTTTGTCCGTCAATGGTACCATATTTTGAACTTTTATAGCTTCTTCAGAATTTTTGCAATTTGTTTCTTCGTAAATTTTGGATTTTCTTGAGTCTTTAAAGCTTAATCTACCCCCAAAATTATTCAAATTTATCAAAACTATCAACTTTTAAATCTCCAGTCCTTCCCCAAATCACACCAATTTCATTTGGCGAGGACGAAGTGAATCTCGACGAAGCTGTCGCTGCTACTTGCATAATCATGAAAGGCGACTCGCCAATTTCAATTTGGTGGACATTGCGTGATGATTTTGACAATTATGAGAGAAATTTGAGCACTAATGATGGTGTTGTGATTACTAGAAATAATCAAAAGGTCTCGTTGTTGACCATTGAAGCTGTTAAAGCCAGACATAGAGGAAATTACACTTGTTATGCTCAAAATAAAGCTGGAATTGCTCAATTTAGTGCATTTTTGGCTGTCCACGGTTTGAATAAATTTTAATTATTTTTTATTTTCTTTCGAATTTTGCAATTTGTCGACCGTCAAAAGTTCTTCCACAAATCGTTCCATTCTCATTTGGAGAAGATGAAGTCAATCTTGATGAATCAGTTATGGCATCATGCTCAATAATCAAGGGTGATTTGCCATTAAAGATTTGGTGGCAGTTCACAGAAAGTGATGAACTTATGAGCTACAATTTGACGACTAGTGATGGAGTTGTCATCACTAAACCTAGTCAGAAAATTAATATCTTAGCTATTGATGCTGTTAAAGCTAGACACAGGGGCAACTATACTTGTTTTGCTCAGAATAAAGGAGGAGCTACTCACTTTAGCTCTTATTTAGCTGTTAATGGTTTGAGTTGAATTTATTTTCAGTCATTTTTAAAATCTTCAGAATTTTGCAATTTTTTTAACCTCAAAAAATATTTTTTAAAAATTTTCAAATTATTTTCCAAACTTTTTAAGTTCTTCCATCAATAACTTCATTCTCATTTGGAGAAGAAGAATTGAACTTTGATGAATCTGCGACTGCGACTTGTGCAATAACTAAAGGTGATGTCCCTATGAAGCTATGGTGGACATTTAAGGGTGATAATGATGACTTTCCATATAATTTGACTACAAATGATGGAATTATTATCACAAGAACTACTCAAAAAGTTTCCATGTTGACAATTGAGGCTGTTAAGGCAAGGCATCGTGGAAATTATACATGTTTTGCACAGAATAAGGGAGGACATTCCCAACATAGCGCTTATTTGTATATTAATGGTTCGAAATTATCCAAAATATTTTAAATTTCCCAAAAACAGAATTTTGCAATTTGAAATTTTCCTCAAATAATTTTTATAAAAATTTATAATTTCATTCTAAGTCCTTCCAAGCATCGTCCCGTTCTCGTTTGGCGATGAAGAATTCAATTTTGACGATTCAGTCTCAACTGTTTGTTCAGTCACTAAAGGAGACTTACCTTTGAAAGTCTGGTGGACATTTAATGAAGAAGGAAGTGACTTGACTCACAATTTGACTACTGGTGATGGCATTGTGATCACTCGTGGGAGTCAAAAGACTAGCATGTTAGCTATTGATGCTGTAAAAGCCAGACACAGAGGAAATTATTCCTGTTTTGCTCAAAATAAGGCTGGTGTAGCCAATCATACTGTCTACTTAGCTATTAATGGTTTGAAATGTTTTAAAATCTTAGAATTACTTCAGAATTTTGCAATTTGATTTATGGGAGGAACTGAAAATCTTCGAGTTTTTGATGCCTTCGACTGTAACTTGACAATTTTATAGGACAAAGTTTATTTATTTGCAAATTTTCCATAATTTATCATTTAGTCATTCCAATCATATCACCATTCACATTCAGCGAAGAAGAATTGAATCTTGACGACTCAGTCACTGCCACTTGCTCCATCACCAAGGGTGATTTGCCTTTGAAAATCTGGTGGACATTTAAAGGTGACGATGACGAGCTTCCTTACAATTTGACAACTAGTGATGGTGTTGTTATCACTAGAACTGGTCAAAAGCTTAGCGTTCTGAATATTGAAGCTGTTAAAGCTCGTCACAGAGGAAACTACACATGCTATGCTCAGAATAAGGGAGGACATTCTGAGCATAGTGCATTTTTGTCGATTAATGGTTTGATATTTGATTAATTTCTTGGGACAACCTAACCTAGAAATTCAGAATTTTGCAATTTGTAGCTTCGTTGACCTCAAAAAATTTTTTTTGAATTTTGATAAAAATTGAATAATATTATCTGAATTAATATAGCTTGTTACATCAAATCTTAATCTTTAATACCCCCTAAAGTTCTACCCGTCATTGCTCCATTCGCATTCAGCGAAGAGGAACTAAACCTCGACGAATCTGTCTCTGCGATGTGTTCAATAACTAAAGGAGATTCGCCAATTAGATTGTGGTGGACATTTAAGGGCGATGACGACGACCAACCTTACAATTTGACTACGAATGACGGAATTTTGATTACAAAGCCAAGCCCAAAAATGAGTGTTCTTGGTATTGAAGCTGTTAAAGCCAGACATAGGGGCAATTATACTTGTCATGCACAAAACAGAGCTGGTGTGGCTCAGCATAGTGCATTCTTGGCTATTAATGGTTCGACATATTTCTAATGATATCAATTTATGTACCCAATGACCTTAAAAATTCAGAAATTTGCAATTTGTACCCAAAAAAGTAATTAAATTTTCAAACTCACTTATCATTTTTCATTCAAAAGTACTTCCATCAATCACTCCATTTTCATTTGGAGAAGAAGAATTAAATTTCGACGAATCAGCGTCAACTTTGTGTGCGATAACGAAAGGTGACACGCCCATCAAAATATGGTGGACATTTAAAGGCGACGACGATACTTTGCCATACAATTTGACAACCAATGATGGCGTTATAATTACTAGGTCGACACAAAAGGTCTCTATGCTCACCATTGAAGCTGTTAAAGCAAGGCACAGAGGGAATTATAGTTGTTTTGCTCAAAATAAGGGCGGATATTCACAACAGAGTGCTTATTTGCATATTAATGGTTCGAATTTTGATGAATTTACTCGAATATCTTCAGAATTTTGCAATTTAACCCTTTTTAAAGTTTACAAAAAATATAATTTATTCAAATTATTGTAAAATAATTGATTATTCATCATTAAAATACATCCGTCACTCATTTATCCTCTCAAGTCCTTCCACAAATCGTACCATTCACTTTCGGCGAAGATGAATTCAATTTTGACGATTCAGTCACGGCTGTCTGCTCAATAACGAAAGGAGATTTGCCTTTAAAAGTCTGGTGGACATTCCAGGATGATGGACTGCCAGATTCTTACAATTTGACTACAAATGATGGAATTGTTATAACTAGGAACAGTCAGAAAGTTTCTATGTTAGCTATTGAGGCTGTTAAAGCTAGACATCGAGGGAATTACACTTGTTTTGCGCAGAATAAGGGCGGATTCTCGAGTCATAGCGCTTATTTGTCGATTAATGGTTAATAATTGAATTTGTATTTTAAGCCTAACCTCAAAAATATCAGAATTTTGCAATTTTAAAAACCCAAATATTTTTATTACAATTTTAAGTTCTCCCATCAATCAATCCATTCTCATTTGGCGACGATGAGTTTAATCTTGACGACGGTGTGTCCACAACTTGTTCTGTAACCAAAGGTGATCTGCCATTGAAGATTTGGTGGACATTTAAGGGCGATATTGACAATGTTGAACATAATTTGACCACTAATGATGGAATTGTGATCACAAGAAATGGTCAGAAAGTTTCATTTTTGACAATTGAGGCTGTAAAGGCTCGACATAAGGGAAATTATACTTGTATAGCTCAAAATAAGGCTGGAGTGTCACAACAGAGCTCATATTTGTCTATGAATGGTTTGAATTACTTACTTTTAGTCGCTAATTTATCCAAAAATTCAGAAAAATTTGCAATTTGTTTCCCACGATTTATTTTAATTCATAAAATTCCAATTTTAAGTTCTGCCAAGCATCATGTCATTTGACTTCGGTGAAGATGAACTAAATTTTGATGAGTCTGTGTCTGCGATGTGTTCAATCACTAAAGGTGACTTGCCATTGAAGGTCTGGTGGACATTCAAGGGTGATCATGATGATTATGCTCAAAACTTAACTACAAGTGATGGAATTGTAATCACTAGAACTGGTCAGAAGCTCAGTTCTCTTTATATTGAAGCTGTTAAAGCTAGACATCGTGGAAATTACTCATGTTTTGCTCAAAATAAAGCAGGAGTTTCTCAACATTTTGCTTATTTAGCTATTAATGGTTCGAATAATCTGCATTTAGTGTTCCTTTTTTGCTCCTGAAAACTCAGAATTTTGCAATTTACTTCCTTCAATTTTATTCATAATTTTATTTAAAATTTTATCGTTTAAAGTTCTTCCATCAATCATGCCATTCTCATTTGGAGAAGAAGAGTTGAATTTTGACGATTCAGTTACTGCGACTTGCTCGATTACAAAGGGTGACTTGCCAATAAAAATTTATTGGACATTTAAAGGCGACAATGATGAACTTTCACATAATTTGACGACTAGTGATGGAATTGTCATCACAAAACCTAGTCAAAAAATTAGCATTTTAGCGATTGAAGCTGTAAAAGCTCGTCATAAAGGAAACTACACGTGCTTTGCTGAGAATAAGGGAGGACATTCTCAACAAAGGGAGGTTTTGCATGGCGTCGACATAATTTATGCATAAATTATGCAAAAAATTATGCATAAAATTCTGCATAAATTATGCACAAATTCTGCAAAAAATTATGCATAAATTATGTAGATTATTTAATTTTATTACAATTCTTGAACATCAAATATTTTTAACTTTTATTTTTAACTAGACATCGTTGATAGCTTGGGTTTGTTTTATTAGCTCAGATTCATCGTATTGTTCCGGGGTCGGTCAATTAAAAGTCTTGAAAGAGTTTATTTATACTATAATTAATGATTTTTTTTTTGTTTTCAGTGTAACCTGCCCAAATTTTATTTGAATCATTATTTCAACTTTTTTGAAACTCCATTTTTCCCACATTTTATTCAAATACTCTCGTATAACTTAGTTTTCCTATTCATAGTATATATCGATGGAAATAACTATGAAGATGCTATCTAATGCCGACATTTTTGAAAAATTTGAATCGGTTTAATCGGTTCAAAATTTAGAAATGTATGCTTCTTAGAAAACATACTTCCGAACTGTTTGAGAATAAGATTTGATATCTAGTTTTGTAGCTTATAAAAATCGATGAAGCTTTAAAAGGTTTTTGGATCATTTTTTGCATCATTACATCATTTTTGAAGAGGTCAAAGTTTTGAATTTCAAATATTTAAATCTCTTATAAGTTTTGAAATTTGTATTTAATCTAGTTTAACTAACAATTGAAAATGTTGGGGTAAATTAGTAAATGATGTCACAATTTTGATAA